ATCAATTCTAGGTAGATTACAGAACTAAATATAAAAGGCAAAATGCTAAAGCTTTTCAAAGATCACAGAGCATATCTTCATGGCCTCAGGGTAGGGAAAGGGTTTTTAAACAAGACTTCACAAAAAGCACAAACCAGACAGGAAAACGCTGATCAGTTAGACTGTTAAAATTAAAACCTATTCATCAAAACACATTATTGTTTTTATTATATTGTGATGATATTTTTTTGGTGGTCAAACCAGAAGACAGAAGTGGTTACTATAGAAGTCAGGTAGTGGTTATGTTTGGGTGGAGATGGGATCTTCGACAGGCACATGGGGGTGTCTGGGGCTGGCAGAGTTATTTCTTCATCAGAGTGGTGGCTACACAGGTGCTCACATTGTTTTACTCTCTGAAGTTATCTTGCTGATGCACTTCCTTATGTGCACATTCTATTTCACATATCTAAACGTTTTTTTAGATGGAGTAACAGAAACAATAAAAAGGAAAAGTTACCAGAAATCTAAAAAAAAAAAAGTTGTTACAGTATGTTCCCCTGTTCTCACTGAGATGTGAATGGGCTGAGACCCTTTCCCTCAGACTTTTCTGACTCACCTTCCCGATGAGCGTTTGGGAGTGAGCCTATTTCTCCTCTTAGAATTACCCCCTGTTCCCTTCAGTGTCTGGGCTGAATGCCAACGCAAATGATGCGGACCTGTAGACTGAAGGGTACTTGCTGTCACCTCTTGGAGGATGGAGGATGGTTGACATTCTATCTTTTCCAGGGTGTGTTTCTTATGCCCGCCTCTTCCTATAAAGATGGATCTCCAAGTCCTTCAGTTTCTGGCATTGAGCTCATCTTCCTGTTTTTTTCTGTGGCTGCCCTGGCCGGAGCCTTTTGACAAGCCCTGGCTGGGTGAGGCAACTCCTGCCTGGGCTCCAGCCAGCGTGGGCAACTGTGCCTCGAGTCTGTCCTGCAGGAACAGCCCTCTCCCCGACACTGCTGGTCTAAATTCTCATTCACCCAAACATCTCTCTCTCTGTCTCTGCTTACCTTTCCTTCCAACTTGCTTCCCCAAATATCCCCTGGGCTAATCAACATGTGCATGTAAACATTTAGTTAATAATGCTGAAACTTCAGGAAGGTTTGCAACAATTAACACTCCTTCCAACTGTGTAGACTCGTTTCTCTACATTCTTGACAGCACTAGATGTCAACAAACTTAAACATTTTGGTTTTAACAGATTAAAAGGAACATAGCTTTTTATTTTGGTTTAGCATTCTCTGATTATGAATAAGGACATGAATTTTTTGGTATGTTTGGTGGCTGCGTATATTTCTTTTGTAGCAAACTATTTCCCTTGACAATTTTCCTTTTTTTCACCTTTTTGATTTATGTGAACTCTTTTAAATTAGGAACTTACTGATCATATTGCATATGATATAATGTTACAAATATTTTATCTATAAGAGTGTTTATATTTTATTTAGTCACACATCCTTTTCTTTGTAGATTTGGGTTTGGATTTTTGGCTTAGAAAGGCCTTCCTTCACTCTAAGGGTATAAAGATAAGCCCACCAGGAAAGTCTTTTGGTATGAGAAGTGAGGTAAGGACCTAGCTTTCTCTTTTCCTTTTTGCATAAAGAGTAGCTAGTTGACACTGCACTATTTTTTTTTAAGTAATTCCTCCCCTGCACTTATTTATAATATCATCTTTTTAAAAAGTCAAATTACAATATACATGAGGACTATTTCTGTACTTTCTATTCTATTTGTCTAAAGTGCACAATTCAATAGCTGGTGATGGTTTCTTCAGTACTAAACTTTAACAAACTGCATCTCAGAAATGTTTCCTATCTGGCAGGGCTGGTGCCACCTTATACCCCGCCCCACCTGGTCCCATAACTTTTCTTTTTCAGATTTTTCCTGCTATTCACCAATGCTTATTTTTCCTGATGAATTTTAGTAGCATTTAATAAGTTTCTTCTGAAAATACTTTCTATATTTTAATTGGGATGGCATGGATTTGGAGATTATTTCAGAATGAACTAATGTATTTACAGTATTGAACTGGCCTTTTCCTCATCCATTTGAGTTACAGTTTGTTGCACATGTACTTTACTAGCCTTTTAAAGGCTTTCTCTCCACCCATGTATCAATAGGTTTTTCACTAGAGCAATATTAAATGACTGGTGATGGTGGATACCTTGAGGTTTGATTATTACACTCACACACATTTAGGGTTGATACGTCTTTTTGGTTAACTGATCCCTTATCATTATGAAATATCCCCCTTTATCCTGGGTAATATTGCATGTTTTGAGATCTGCCTTGCCTGATACCAATGTAGTCACTGTAGCTTTCTTTATTAGTGTTTCCAGGGTCAATCTTTTTTCATTCATTGTCGTTTAACATATCTGTATCTTCATATTTAATGCGAGTTTCTTCTAGCCAGTGCATAGTAGACTTGCTTTTTTATCCATCTGACAATGTGTCTTTTAATTGGAAGAGTTAGACCATTGACTTTTTATAAAAACAACTTTGTTGAGATATAATTTACATACTGTAAAATTCATCCATTTAAAGTGCACAATTCAATAGGTTTTAGTATCTTAACAGATTGAATAGTAGAATTTTTAGCAGACTCACAAGGCTTAGTATACTCAACAGATGGATGTAAAACAATTGCCATGATCTAATTTTAGAACATTTTCATAATCTCAGAAATAAACCTGGTACCCATCAGCAGTCTCTTCACCTCCATTACCCCTGACCTAGGTAACCACTAATCATTCTGTCTCTATAGATTTGCTTATTATGTTTTTTTTCATATTAACGGAATCATACAATATGTGCTCTTTTATGTCTGACCTCTTTCACTTAGCATCATGTTTTGTGGTTCTCCCATGTTGTGTATGGGCCAATATTCATTCCTTTTTTATTACTAAATAATATTCCATTGTTATATTATCTCACTTTGTCTCATTTTGTCCATTTATCAACTGATAGGCATTCTTGTTTACTTTTTGGCTATTACAAATAATGTTGCTTGAACATTTTCATACAAGTTTTGTGTTTTCATTTTCATTTCTCTTCAGCATATATCTAGGAGTAGAGTTGCTGGATCATGTGGTTAATCTTCACCTTCAATCCTTCAATTTCGAAAGATATTTAAAAAAATCATGAGTGTATGACTCTTCAACATCTATGGAGATAACATTAATTTTTCATTGTTTTATCCTGTCAATAGATTACCTTACATTGAGTTATAGTAATGGATTTCCAAATATTAAACCATTTAATTTCCACATATTGAGCCATTTTTAGAATATACTCTACTTGATCATGGAGTATTATTCTTTTAGTGTTCTGGTGAAATTGTCAGCTAATATAGTTTCAAGGATTTTTTTCATGAGTAAGACTGCTTTGTAGGTTTTGGGGATTTTTTTTTTTTTTTGGTGGACTTTCTTTGACAGGTTTTAGTATCAATGCTGTTTTACTTCCTAAAAAAAGACTTTGGCAGATTTCTTTCTATGGTCTAGAAAATTAAAGATGTTTATTCCTTAAATGCTTGGTGTATTTCTCCTGCAAAGCTACCTGGTGCTTTCCAAGGGAGCAATTCTGTGACGACTCTATTGAAATCAGTCTGTTAATACTTCTCTCTCCTCTGGAGTAATTTAGGTAATTGGTATAATAATAATAAACGGGGTTTCTGAATCAGCCAAGTCAAAGACATTACGTATAGTGACAGCATCAAGATCACAAGACCCCAGGAATCATACAGTATATATTTTTCATGTCTGTCTTCTTTCATTCAGTATAAAATATTTTGACATTCCCCCCACACTGTATGGTGAGGATGATCTTTGAATAGTAGCTGGTTTCCTTTTACTGATGACGAATACACCACTTTGGATATACCACAATTTACCCATTCACTTACTGATGGACATCTGGATTATGTTCCTGTTTCTGACTATAATTTACATAAAGATGAATATTCTGTACAGGTGTTGTGGACAGATGGTTTCATTTCTCTCAGATAAATACCTAGGAGTGGAATTGCTGGTTCACAGATGTATGTTTAACTTTTTAAAGAAGCTGCCCAAGAATTCTCCAAACTATTTGTACCATGTTATATTCACATGGCAGTTTGAGAATTCCACTTGCTCCATGTCCTTGACAACACGAGTGCCACCAGTCCTTTTCAACTTAACCCTTTAGTGCATGCACAGCGATACCTGCTGTGGCTTTAATTTGCATTTCCCTCATGACAAATGATATTGAATGAGCGTGTTCTCATATGCTTATTGGCTATTTATATATCTTCTTTTGTGAAGAACGTGTTCACAGCTTTTGCCTGCTTTTTGGCTATGTTCTCTTTTCATTATTGAGTTGTAGGAATTCCTTATTCTGGATACAAGTCCTTTGCCAGATATATTTGTTATGAATATTTCTTCTCAGTCTGTGGCTTGCCTATTTATTTTCTCGATAGTGTTTTTTGATGAGCAGTTTAAAATTTTGATGAAGCCCATTTATTAATTTTTTTCAGGTCTCTGCTTTTTATATCCTTTCTAAGAAAGCTCTGCCTACCAAAAGATAGAGAAGATGGTCTGTTTTCTTCTAGATTTATCAAATTAGTTTGCTCAGGCCCACAGTCCCTCTTAAATAGAATTTATATGTACTGTGAGGGGGAGATTGAACACCCCCCCACCACATACACGTGAATATCTAGTTGCTCCAGCATCACTTTGACCCTATAGCAGAGAGCTTTTGATATCTTTCTAACACTAAGCACCCCAGGTAAAAATGTGTCTCATGTAGTCTTTCTCTATTCAAAGTGAGGTTCCAAGACAGGGAGCATCACATCTCCTGGGAGCCTGTTAGAAATGCAGACTCTGGCACCACTCCAGTCCTCCACAACCCCCAGGTGATTCACAGGCACATTACGTTTTGAGAAGCACTAGTGTGGGTAATTTTTGAGGAAGGAGGGGAAGCATTATCAGGGCATACCCTGCCACTGATGCCTCCCCGTGCATCCGGCTGCCATGGCCTGTGGCCCATCTCCTCTCTTTGATAAGCTTAGACTCACTCCCAGACTTAAGGTCTGGGTCCACAACTCCAGGTAAGTGTTGTGTGTTTTTTGCTGCTGGGGGAGTTGGGAGACTCACTCGTCCAGCCCTCACCCTGTAACACCCTCAAACCCCTGTTTACTCACTCAGCAGCTTTCGCCCTCTCCCCTATGCACATCCTTCCACCCCCGAGCCTCAGTTTACTTGATTACAGAGCCGAGATAGATAATAGTGGTCTCCATCTCAGGGGCTAATGTGATGTGAAGTGATCTACGTTGTACCTGGGGCCTAGCGACAGCATAATGAAAGTCAGTGATCGTCACGGTCATCCCAGGAGCAGCCCCCGCACAAGAGCCTCCTTTCCCCCGCAGCTCCACCCCCAACGGAGCCTGGCCGTCTCCCCCGCTTCTCCCTCCCTTCTCCTCGCGCCAGGGCACCTTGCAAAGATAAATCTTTCTCACCACCTTGCATTGTTACAGAGAATTGCCCTCGCTTCTGACAGGTCCTCGCTGCGGCCTGAGGGTTCCTCAAATCCGAGATCTCTGAGTTGGTCGTCTTGAACCCCTAGCCCATGGCACTGTGCCTGGTACTTGGAGAACTCAATATATGTTGGCAAAATCGAACTCCACGCTAAGCAAGCGCCCACCTCTCAACACGCGGAGGGAGGGGAATGTGCGAGCGGTGGAGGCAGAAGGGAGGGCTGGCCCTGTGCCCGTGTACACAGGCCGGGGGCTCCTGGAGCTCGGGCAGGAGGACCACGAGGCGGGAGAGCGGAGCCTTGGCCAGCAGAGAGCGGGCAGTGCAGGACGCCGAGGGCTCCCTCGGCTCCTCCCCTCCTCCTCCCGCGCCCCCTCCCCTCCCCTCCCCGCGCCCGGCCTCCTCGGGTTCCGCCACCCCGCCCCGCGCGGCCGCGCCAGGGAGGGGCCGGGAAGGCGGAGCCAGCGGCGGCCGAGGCTCCAGCACCCTCACAGCTCCGGGTGGTGGGGCCGAGCTCCCGGCTCGCCCAGGTAGGGCCCCGCGCCGGGAACAGACGAGGGACCGGGAGCTGCGGCGGGAGGGGCCCGGCGGGCGGGAGCGGGGCCGGACCCGCTGCCCGCGTGCACCGCCGCCTGGCGGCCCACCGAGCCCGGGCCTGGGGGAGGGGGCGCGCAGTCTCGCCCCTCGGTCCGGGCCTTCCTCCCCGCACCCTCCGCGTGCGCCCTGCTCCCTTCCCCCTGCACCGCATCCTGCGAGACGGCCCGGAGCTTCCTCCAGGTTTCGCCTCTCCTTCGCCCAGCCCCGTGTTCGCCCCACAGGTTCCTCCAGAAAGCGGGCTGGAGTCTGTGCTCGGCCGCTCCGGGGTAGTGGGGGGCACAGCTGGAAGGAGCCAGAGGGTGAGTCTGGCGCAGGGGGGAGGGCGACGGCTGGAGGACCGGGTACCATTCTTTGGCATCTTGGTGTCACCGATGCTCGGGCGCGCAGCGGGGCCGGCTCCATGTTTGAGGAATGAATGAATCATTACTCTCCTTGTCCTCTTCTGAAGGAGGACTTTTTGAGGTCCACGTGCTACAGAGCACGTTGGGGGGCCTCCTGGGCTAGAGTTCCCCCCTTGTGCATAGTAGAAAACCACCTCTCATTTCTCCACCCACTCTCTCCTCTCTCTTCGGGGGAGGCCCCCTTCAGGTAGGACCTTGGGGATGCTGGGGAGAGAGGGAGCCTGTAGCCCCCAGCCAGGCACTTGGTGAAGGTGTGACAAAGGACTTGCAGGTGTGACAAGGGACTTGGGAAGGACAGGGGACTTGAGTGAGGCCCCTTAGAAGATACCAGGATGGAGGTGGGGGAGATGCTGCAAGGAGAGCACCCACTGTCAGGCTGTGACCACTTGCACCTCCTAGGCCAGCCTGGAAGGGCCACTGGAGTATGGGTTCTGACCTCGTTACTGTTTCTTTATTAGTAAATGGGAATTATTAATGTCCATTGCTCAGGCTTTCTGCAGCTTAAGAAAAATGTCACATGGGATTGCCCAGCATAAAGCTTGGTACACTGGGGGCACACAGCAAATCTTAGTTTTCTTTTCTTTCCTCACTGAAAAAAGTGAGCAGAGTTTTTTGTTTCCATTCCCTCTGCCCCCAAATTGGTCATGGACAGACACAGCAGATGTATAATCACTGTTTGTTGAATGAATATGCTTGATGGAGCTTCACCACCCACCCCCTCCTCCCAGAATCCACAGGCAGAGCTTGGGATCTGACCAGCACAGACATGCCAGTGCTGTCCGAGGACTCTGGTGAGTGTCTTCACGGGGCTAGGCCTGTCATAGCCTTGATGACGAATCTGTCCAAAGCCTGGAGCTGGGAAGAAGGCAGGTTGCTGCCAGCATTGGCTTACTGGGGGTGCCCTGCATCCATGACCTGAGAATGAGAGCCTGGGGAGAGAATGTCCACACGGCAGGGCAGAAATATTGTTCGAGGGTCCACTTGGGGTCCCCCTCGGGTAGAAAGTGCCCATTGATTTGCTATACTGTGTTTTTCTTACACTCTCCACAGGTTTGCATGAAACCCTGGCGCTGCTGACCTCTCAGCTCAGACCTGACTCTAACCACAAGGAAGAGATGGGCTTCCTGAGAGATGTTTTCAGTGAGAAAAGCCTCAGTTACTTAATGAAGGTAAAGCCCCATTTCATCCTACCGGGTGAGGGTTTCTGGAGGTCTTCCTAGCTGGCTGTGGCTGGTGGACGTCATCCTCACCATCCCCTGGTTCCTGGAAGGTCTTCACTAGCCCACAATGCAGGGCTTTCTTTCATGTTAACCCATCAGTGACCCAGTCTGCAGCCCTAGAGCCCCACAGCCATGAGTGGACTGTGGTGTCCAGGGTAAACCTGGGCAGCTGGCTTGGGAGGCTCCAGCCTGATATCAGCTGTCTTTGCAGATCCACGAGAAGCTTCGCTATTATGAGAGGCAAAGCCCGACCCCTGTGCTGCACAGTGCTGTGGCCCTTGCCGAGGATGTAAGACCCTGTTTTTTCCTTTTGGTGTCAGCACCGCTCCCCACCCCTTTTATCTTGCCTTGTCACCATAGTTAGCCTAGGGGACACTGGGACTCAGGAGCCCAAAGGGAAGGAGGTGTCTCCTTTCCCCCTCCGTTGCCCTGAGCCTCCTCACACACAGGCGGGGAGGAGCTGTGTGCCTTGGACTGGGCTGGGGGACATGGTCATATGATGATGCCTACTTACTGTGTGTTCCTGAGAAAGTCTGTTTCCCCAGCTGTGAAGGAGAGCATTTGGATTGGATCAGCAGTTCCCAATGTGTCGGGCTATATGAATAGGTCAAATGAGCCCCTTGTACCTGTGCTCTGGGGAGGCATGCCATGAAGTCCTGGGGTCCAGCAAGTATGTCTTTGTTTACAGGCTCAGGCTTCTCATTTTATAAAGCAATGCTTCCTAATTTCTGGTGGACCTCAGGGTTGCATGGCTTGGGAAAAGCCGTCCCAGTTGATTAGTAAGGCAGCTCCTGAATAAACTTGCCTAAGCCCAGGAGAGGGCCTGTGATGGGTGCAGCTTTTCTCCACTACAGGATGTGATTAGCAGCATGGTGGGCTCCCAGGCTCAGCACTGCCTCTGGTACTAGCTCTGTGACCTTAAACAAGTCACTCAACCTCTCTGAGCCCCAATTTCCTCATTTATAAAATAGCACAGTAGTGAGGACACAGCTAATACAGCAGATTAGCCCAAGTACATATCCTGTCTGTGCTATTTACAAGCTTTGGGCAAGATATTTAATCACTCTCATTTCATTCTCATCTGTAAAATGGTAAAATAATAGTACCTGCCCAAGGTAGCTCACTGTGAGAGTGAAGTGAGGAGGCCCACAGGAAGAGGCCCACAGGAAGCATCGGAGGTTAGCTCCTGTGAGGATCACCCTGCAGAGCTGCTTGAGTTCTTTTTGTCTCTGGCATGACTTCCCAGGAGCAGCAGTCCTGGGCTGGCTGAAGGTTCAGTGCACCCCTGGGGGCTGTCAAAGTTCCTGCAAGGGTCCCTGGGTGTGAGGCTCAGGGAGCAGGGTTTTCCCTGCATGAGTCGCAGCAGGTCCAAAGCCCCCGCAGCCGTCTGTGATGTTCTGTGTCTTTTCCCTACAGGTGATGGAAGAGCTGCAGGCCGCCTCCGTGCACAGCGACGAGAGGGAGCTGCTCCAGCTGCTGTCCACCCCCCACCTCAGGGTAGTCATGCCACAGTCCCTGCCCACGCGCACAGCTTGTGTCTCCTGGGATGGAGGGAGCGCTGGGTCACGAGGCTGAGGAAAGGAGACTGATGAGGGAGGGCTCCTCCAGTGTCAGGGTGGTTGTCTCTCTGGTTTTGGATCCCAGATCCCCAAACCACTGCCCAGCCAAGGCCCCTGGCCCTCATGTCTCTTGCATTCCTGATAGGCCATGCTCATGGTACATGACACGGTTGCCCAGAAGAATTTCGACCCTGTTCTCCCCCCTCTGCCTGATAATATTGATGAGGATTTTGATGAAGAATCAGTGAAGATTGTCCGCCTGGTGAAGAACAAGGAACCCCTGGTATGTGGCACCCACCTCTCTTCCCCACCTCCTGCCTGTATCCCACCCACCCAGAATACTGGGAAGGGACCCTCCTACAGTCTGGGGTGAGTGATGGCAGCTTCGTCAGGGCTGCCACTAGGCCCTCTGATACTTTGTGTGCAGGGACTACTTTCTCTGGGTGGGTATGAACCCCCTTGACTGTGGCCAAGCTCCTTTGTGCAGTAGATAACCTTCACAGCTATATGCAGTCCTGATCACCATGCTCTGAACCGGAGGTTGGCAAACTGTGGTCTAAGGGCCAGACCTGGCCTGCTGCCAGTTTTCATAAATGAAGTTTTATTGGAGCATGACCATGCCTATTCATTTCATATTATCTGTGGCTGCCTCTAGTTGCAGTGCCAGTGTTGAGTAGTTACAACAGAGACTGGGGCCCACAAAGCCTAAAATATTTACATTTGGCCCTTGGCAGAAAAAGTGAGCCAGTCCCTGCTCTGAATTTGAGGAAGCACAAGACAGTGCCATTCTTCTCAGTGGACAGATTGTTACCATTTTGGTCCTGGTTCAGCACTGATTTACTGAGCACAGGGACAAGGTTGTTTATTAGACAGAGGAAAGTGGTGGAAGTCTAGAGAACTGACTTATTGCCTTAGAGAATGCCACAACTGGCATTCTTCATTTTCAGCCTTCACCTTATGATCTCGGGCCACTTCTGCAAACGGAAGAGGAGCTCTTTTTTCCTCTCTTTCCTCCCCTGCAAAATGGGGCCATCATCCTTTGATGGTGTGCCAGGCGTGTGTTGGGTGCCGGCAGTTTGGAGATAATTAAGACTTAGTACTTCCGCTCTGGTGGTTCACAGGAGGGAGGGAACTGAAAGGGGTGGTTTCCTGAAGGAGGTGATGCCCAGGTCGAATTCCAAAAAAAGGAATGGGTTTTCTAGAAGGAAAAGGGAGAGAAAGGGCATTCCAAACAGTGGAACTGCGTGAATGAAACCAGGGACAGTAAATGGTATGGTGTGTTCGGGGAACTCTGAGCTGCCTGGTTTGGATGTAGAACGTCAAGTTCGAGGTAAGTAGTGACAGGGGTGAGGCCAGATCAGGAGGAGATCATAAAGAACGTGACTATCTGTGCCCAGTTGCGTAGCTTGACCCCAAGGCTCTCTGGGGAGCCATTGTAAGCTCTTAAATAAGAAATAAATTCCTGCTTTGGGCAGGAGTCTGGGGAGGTGCCTAGAATAGTTGCCAGGTGTCCAGCTGGGATGACTGGGTGGGCACTGGGCCATCACTCAAGGAAGGGAATTTGGAGGAGCTTAGGGCCCACTGGATTCAGGAGGCCTGTGTGACGCACAGGTGGAGGTGTCCAGGAGGTGGAAAGATTGTGTGTTCAGAGGAAGAGACTTGGCAGCTGCTGGCATCTGGGAGGTGTTAAATCATGCGTGAGAGGTGGAGACCTGCCCGGTAAAGAGTGGGCAGAGTGAGACAGGTAGAGGGCTGGGGTAGCTCCTGACCCTTTAATCAACAGAGGAGGACTCAGCAAAGGAGACAAATTGTTACTGAGAAGAACTGAGAGGTATCACTGGGCCCAGGCTAAGAGAGAATTCCAGAGGGAGGGCAAGTGCCAGTCTGACAGGAGGGAGATCAGACGAGAGAAGACTGGAAGCCAGTGGGCAGGCAGTGGGCACCAGGGGACCTTTGAGGTTGCAGCAGCGAGTGGCTGGGAGGGCAGGAAACAGAGCAGACACATGCTCTTCTCCAAGAAACTTCTCCAAAGGAACGGGGCATGGCAGGGCAGGCTTTTTAATGGCCGGTCATATTTTTAGGGACCAGGGAAGCAGCCAGTAGAGAGGGGGCACTGGGAATGCGGGAGAGGAGGGAGTGGGGAGAGGGACCAGCCTAGACAGGAGGCTCTTTGCTGAGATGGGGAAAGGGGAAAGGACAGAGACCTGGCAAGTTTGAAGGTCTAGGGCCAAGAAGCCACAGGGTTCTTTAGCTGATGGTTTCTCTTTCCAGCAATATTTGTCTGTGAACTTCAAATAGGTGATGTGAATGACGGTAGTAAAAGTGCACCAGTGTGTTTGCAGGTACAACCAATAATGAATGGCTGACAGTTGCTGAGCGCTTACTGTATGCTAAGTGCCTCACATGCATTACCCGATGTAATCCTTGCAACCACCCTGTGAGTTAAATGCTGTCCCACATCCCGGAAGAATCAGACTCAGAGAAGATAAGGGGCTTTCTTGCTAAGGCCCTATGCTTTTACTAAATGGCAGTAGATTCAAACCCAGGGCCATCCAGCTCGAGAACTTAGTTCTTCTTCACCTGACTGCTGCCTTGCCCTGTCACAGTCCAGCCTGTGTGGTGCATGAAATTGAGGACTCATTAGTGCCTTTCTCATTCTAAACATCATCTCTGCTGTGCTTCATGGGCCACATCTTGGTCCCCAGACTCTGGCTGGGGCATAAATTGGTCCCCATCAGCAACAAGTTGACCCAGTAACCCTGTGATTGGTTAGAGGCAGGTTGAGAATTTGCTGGCAGTCTCCTCACTATTAAATGTCTTTGCAAGAGGCCAGGACTGTGGTATGGCAGAGATTTGACATCACAAAAAACTTTCCCTCTTACCAGCTGGTGACCTTGAGGACATTTATCTTCTCACCCCGTCTCTGGTCTCAAAAATGAGATTGTCACGGTGTTCCTGTGTTTTGTAAACTGAAATGCTGTGCGACACTAATGTGAGATGGTGGTTTTATTGCATCCTTGGCATTGGAGAGTTCCCCACTGATGTGCCTTCTTGGGGGCGGTGTGGGGGACCGGGAGGCTCTGTTGTGCCCTGAGAGTCGGAGTCTCAGGTTTGGGGCTGCTTCTTAGGAGCCTGCTTGCTCTGTGTCCGATGCAGGGCGCCACCATCAGGCGGGATGAGCACTCGGGGGCTGTTGTGGTGGCCAGGATCATGCGAGGGGGTGCAGCGGACCGGAGCGGTGAGTGGCACCCATGCTGCCCTGGCTGAGGTGACGCCCAGCATGCCCCAGCCTTCCCCCTTTGACCACAGGTCTCCTTTCTTTCTCCTTCTCTCTGGGATGTGCTCTGCATTCTGGGAGTGGGCTGGAATTCTCTCTCCTTCCCAAGCCTGGTAAAAACTTTAATGGTTTGAAAACACCTCAGGCATGAAGTACTTGGGGGTGATCAGAAGGGCCTGTGCATTGGCTTAGCCCAGGGGCTGGTAGTTAAGCCCATGGCATGGGCTTGGTGGGTGATTCCTAACTGGGGGGCAGGGGCACCGTTCCCCAGCATGCTGGCTGCCATTTACCAAGGGGAGGCTGTTCACTTCCCAGGTATGTTTGGGTGGAAAATAGATTGAGAATTGCTGGTGTGCGGAAGAACTAAGTTGGGAGGCAGACCTCCTGGTTGTACGGGGAGGGCTTGCCCCCAAAGTCTGGGGATCATTGATGTGGAGAGTCCTAGACCAGTGCTTCTCAAACCTTAGCATGTGCACAAAACCCTGAACATCTTGTTAAAATGCAGATTCTGAGTCAACAGGTTGGGGTGGGCCCAGGATTCTGCCCCACCCCCCACCTTCTGGGTTTTGCTGATGCTACTGGACCAGTGACCACTTTGAGTAGCAAATAGGGCCTCGTATGCAGAGACACTTGTCATGAAAGCAGAGGCCAACAGACAGGTGTATTTAACCTCTGGACGCCATCTTCCCTGGTGCCTTTGAGTTTCCTTGTTAAGATTTCAGAGGGACATGCTTGGAGTGCATCTAGAAATCCAGGAAGGTGAAGAGTTAATGACATTTTTAAAGAAGCAGAGGCTTACAGCAGAAAGAACACAGGCCTCCTACGTGAAAGTAACTGTGTTTGAACACTGGCTCCATTATTTCTTGGCAGTATGGCCTTGGGCAAGCTGCATGCTTTTTCTGGATCTCAGCTGCCAACTTGTAAACTGGAGATTTCACTGGGTGGTTTTGAGGCCAGAAAGCTGAGTGAGGGATGCGCAAAGGAGGGCTCCCGTCCTCCCGGTCCCGTCTGCTGTCTTCCCTGCAGGCGGTTCCTCAGGTGGGTGTTGGCGGAGCCCAGAGCTCTGAGCTCCAGAGCTGAGGCCTCTTCCCAATGGTCAGCCCTGTGTCTCCTAGGCCTCGTCCACGTTGGAGATGAGCTCCGTGAAGTGAATGGGATCACCGTCCTGCATAAGCGGCCCGACGAGATCAGCCAGATTCTGGTCCGTGCTGAATGCATGCCGGGGTCTTCCCAAAGCAGGGCACTTCCTGGAGCCGGAGCAGACTGTGGCTCGGGCTCCCTCTTCTCAGGAGGAGACTGCAGGCAATGTGGCCTTACAGTGTACCTGGGGTGCGTGGTGGGGACAGGGCAAGTGGCTTGTCCAGCGCACCAGGCCTCCCTCAGAACCTCTCTTCAGCACAGCCATCCTCCCCCGACCCTCTGGGAGACCCCCTCAAAAGGGCCCCCTCTCCAAAGGGCTGAGGAATATGGAATGAGAGGCTGCAGCGGGAGGGCTGGGAGCAAGGGCTTTGGGGTCAGCCAGTACTGATTTGCATCCTGCCTCTGCCACTTTCTAGCTGTGCAGCCTCGGGCAAGTCATCACGTCATCCTCAGTTTCAGTTTCCTTTCCTGTAAAATAGGGACGGGGTGGTTTCTCATCCACTGTGTGGTTATCCTGAGGATGTAAACATCTGGGAAAGGATACAGCACTTTGCATCAGTAAGGGGATTCCAGGATATTAAGTGCAGGGGCTAGAACAACTCCAGAGGCGCTTCTGGGAGTTCAAGTCAAAACTGAAATTGTAGAAAGCCCCAGTCAGTTTTCTCCTCCTTATCCTCAGACATCCTCCCCCGGCATGACACTCCTCACTAACTTCCGATGGTTTGGGGAACAGAAGCAGGACCATCTGAAGGGAGGAGGCCTGTTCTCTAATGCCCCCACTGTAGGGGCCCTGGTTGCAGGCAGGCCCTTCCACCTTTCTGCCCCCACTGCCCTTTCCCTGGCTCTGGACTCCCACCCCTGCTGTCCCAGAGCGATGCAGGGCCAGGGAGGCCACTGGGCAAGATTGGCTCTCACAGGCATTCTTCCCTGTGGGCCTGATGTTGGGGTGCAGGGTCCCTGTTGGGTATAGGAAAGGGGAAGCCCTGGGAAGGTAGCAGTGGCCTAGATGGGGAAGTGTTGAGGAGGAAGGAAAGAAGGAAATGAAACTCAACTAGGTTGTTAAAATAACCAGAGAGAAAAGAAAGAAGGGAGCCCCTTGGGCGCTGGAGGTCAGGAGGGCCGGGAAGTTGGAATTCACAGCATGCACTGGCCTCTGGCTCTCAGTGAAAATCTTCTGTTTCGTCTTTGTTCCATGAAAATGCAGGTACTTGGTTTTTGAGTTTTGCTTTAATTAATTCAACCGGGTGCCACCACAGTAGGGTGGCCGTAGGGGAGGCACTATGTCTGGTTTCCTTCTGGACCTGAGTTTCCAGGTCTGGGAAGTAAGACTTGAACTCATGTTAGGCAGACCAGGAAGGTGCTAAGCGTGTATGCGCTCTCCTTTCAGGCACAGTCCCAGGGATCCATCACCCTGAAAATCATCCCCGCTACCCAGGAGGAGGACCGTTTAAAGGAGAGCAAGGTGTGGTGGGGCCGGCGTGCGGGGCTGGAGCAGTCACGGGCCGAGATCGCGCGTCTGCTCCTCAGAACGCATGAGCAATGGAGAATGAATTCAGTCACAGAGTGATCCATTTATTTGTACCCTGACTCTTTTCTAAACAGGAGTTGACATAGCTTACTAATAAGAGGCAAGGTTATTTGAACTAGAAAATCAGGGCTGTGAAGAGGAGAAGGTACCAGATGTGCTGGATTCGGGACCAATTAAGTAACCGCCATTTGTTTCCTTCTTTGTCGAGCACCTTTCATTCTTTTTTGGGGTCCTCCTCTGTGTCAGGTGCTGGAGACAGGAATGGTGAGGAGCTTCGAGGATCCCTAGTTCAGAAGGGGAAGCTGGGGAGCAAATCTCCCACTGCTATGTGATAAGTGCTTTGGAAACATTCTGTAGAGTTACCGGCACGTAGCAGGGGTTTGGAAGCGAGGCTTGAGAGGGTGAAGATGAGTAGGATTCCCTGGTGAGGAAGAGCAGAAGGGGCGCTCAGACAGAGGGGTCGGCATAGACATACAGAGGCTCCAGAGCGGGGGGAGGTAAGTCTGGGGGTTGGTCAGGAAGAGCACCATGCTGGGCTCGGTTGTGCCATGATCCCTGCCTGACCTGCGGCCTCAGAGCTGACCCTGAAGCGGGGATCCAGGGCAGATAGTCTACTTGGAGGTCACTCCAGGAAACACCTGTACAGGAGTGTGGAGAGGACGGCAGCCAGCATAACAAAGGGTTTAGCAAGCAAATTGCACCGTGGACTTAATCCTGCTGGAGAACTGGGGTGTCTCCTGGAGGTACATGTCTCTGTCATCCCACCCAACAGCCAGGGAGTGAGGCTGGGAGATCTGTATACCATCTCCCACCCTGCTGCACCCAGCGCCCAGCAGATTAATTCCTAGCAGTTCCTGCCTGCTGGATTAGGGCAGAGCGGATCCTAGGGGTCAGAGAAAGCCTGAGGGCCAAGAGGTGCATGCTGGCAGCTGGAAATCAGCCTGGGGTGCGCTGACATGGTAGGGCCAGGGGAGTATGGGAGAGCATCCCACAGCCCAAGACACAACCCCATAGGCAGTGAGAAGCTCTTAAAGGTGTTATCGTTTTTTTTTTTAATTTTTTTAAAGAGGGGAGCAGTGTAACTGTGTTATAGAACTCTCCCAGGGAAGCCATGTAGAAGAGGGTGGAGCGGGTAGAGGCTGGAGGCAGGGAGACCCTGGAGGAGGCTGTTGTAAAAGCCCAGGTGAAGATTATTGAGGCCTAAGCTGAAATTTGATTTCAAATTAATTTGGATCTGCATTTCCTGGCCATCAAGGCAGAACGGAGAACATAATGAATGACATACTTCCCCTCAGTTTTTCAAGAAGGCTAATTCTCAGCCCCTGCCTCTCAGCACTGAATGTGTGAAAGAAAGGACATCGTCACATCTGGCACAGAGTGGATGTCAGTAAATATTCTGATGTCTGGGGATTGATAGTGGACAGTGTCAAATGAAGAAATAACTTCACATGGCTGTTTCTCATTTGCACGTTTGGATTGACTCCCAGGGCATGCAAAATGGGGACTCTCACCTGATCGAAGATGGTTCTTCCTTAGACAAGCTATGGGGTCTCCATATGCAGCTTTTGCAGGCCTCACTTGATACAGGTAGAGAGCTTGGTTTTCCTGGAGGACAAAACCAGCAGCCTATTCTCTCACCCATCCTTCCTGAATATTTCTTGAACCGGGATCTTGGCAGTTTATACTGTTTGAGTGCCTGGGACTCTGGTAACATCTGTGGCTGGATGAGGGTGTCTGCCCTTACAATAATCTGGCCAGAAAGTTCTTACTATTGTCTAATCAAATCTTTTCTGCTTGACACATATTAAAAGAATATGTTTTTAATCTGTCTAAAGAGCCCTCTGGCCTTTTTTTTCTATTTGCTGTTAAAGTAATTGGGCCCTAATGGTCTGGAAATAGATATAAATAAAGTAAATCCATGCCACTGAATTAGAGAAGAGAACAAGAAAGTGTGTTAAGATGCAGTGTCTTCCCACCAGCTTCTCTAGAGGGGTCAGGGTAAAGGGGAGAGTTGGGGGTTGGCCAAGTATGTGACAGATGAGGCAGGATTTAGTGTAAAAAATGTGGATGCCAATTACCCACTGAAAAAAGGTGGTGAGGGAGAAATCAGTAACAGTAATCGTGTTGATATTTGTGTTCTTACTAAGCTATCTAGTTTACTAGCAGATGGCTGCTGAGTTCATTAGGGGCAGTTAGCATATCAAAATGACAGGTGATTTACTCTTTGTTCCTGCTTGCCTTTACTCTTTGTTCCCAGGACTAATTGTTGTTTTGTGTATGCTAAGAGGCTATCATAAGGATGACAGGTCAGGTAAATTTGAAGGTTGGAAAGATAGAGGGCCCATCTACTCATTTTCTGATTCCTGATGGATTTCCTGACTGTACTATTCAAAATGATTGAAGAAAAAAAAGAAAACATGTGCCCTGTGTTTCTGAGTAAACTTTCTGTTCCCAAGGATACTTGTTCGTCCGAATCATGAATGATAGTTGTCATTTGGCCTTTGATGTGACATGCACACATTTGTGCTTACCTGGCAAAGGGTTACCTCACTGGAGCCCCTTCTCTGCAGGTGTTCATGCGGGCCCTTTTCCACTACAATCCTCGGGAGGACCGGGCCATTCCCTGCCAGGAGGCAGGCCTGCCCTTCCAGCGCGGGCAGGTCCTGGAGGTGGTGAGCCAGGACGACCCCACGTGGTGGCAGGCCAAGCGCGTGGGGGACACCAACCTTCGAGCTGGCCTTATCCCCTCCAAGCAGTTCCAGGAGAGGTGGGTCTGGGGTGTATTGTAAGGGGGTGTTTCTGGAGTGGCCAGAGGCATAGGTGCATGACAAAGCCCCAGATCTATGCCCAGCCAGCCAGGGGGGCACCCTGTGGGTCATTCCTGAGCCAAGTCCCAATTGCGCTTGTGTTCTTGTTCCAAAACCAGTGGTGATGGCTGTTTGAGATTTAAATACATATATGGAAACCTATGTTACTAAATTAACATGAATTTTACAATACATACTTATAAAAAGTTGAGAAATAAAACATAAAAATACAGAAGAGGAGGATGAGGAAAAGAAAACTACCCAGTCTCCCCACCATCTAAGCAGCTTGATTTATTTCCTCCCTGTGTTTTCTATGTGAGTGATGCATAGAAATTTGAGGTCTTGCTTTTTTTTGGTAACTTAACATTTTGACACTCGTATTTCCCACATTATTACCTATTCTTTACTGTGTGATTTGAACGGCTGGACAATATTGCATCAGGAGACAGGCCATCCATTCACAGGCAGCCAGTGTGGGGTCTCCCCTGGAGGAGCTTCCAGTTTGTCAGGAAAGTCACACGTGGTCCAAAGAAGCACTTTATACCAATGTGATAAGTGAGAGGGAGGGGGACGTTGTGCTCTGCAGGTCACAGTGGGAGGACTGGCCCTCATCCAGGCACGCAGGGGAGGATTCTCTGGAGAAGGGTGGTACCTGAGTGACTTCACCCTTTCACTGTGGCTGCGCTTCTCAGTCCTCCCCAGGGTTTCGCTGCCCCAAGGCTGCAATAATTTTCTCACACAGAGACTCTTCCTCATATTTCAAATTATCTCCTTAGCATAGATTTTCAAAAGTGTAAATCCTGGGTCAGAGGCCATGGCAGTTATAACTGCATCCCCTCTCCTGAGATCTGTAGTCCTCTTCCATCTTTTGGGGTGTGGAATGCTGTAGCAGTAGACCTTGGGGTTCACTGTGTGGCCCCTCTGCCAGGTGCATTAGCTTCCCTGAGGACCGTGTTAGAAATGCAGACCCCAGGCCCTGCCCCAGACTTGCTGAGTCAGGAACTCCAGGAGCCCCGAGTTCTAACAGGTATTCTAGGTGATGCTGAGGAGGTGAAATTGAGAACCGCCGCTCTGTTTCTACAGGGGGGCCTCAGGCCATCTCCATCTTTCGCTGGAAGGTCTTGGGGGCAGGCTCTCATTTGGCTGCATTTGAATGTGGGAACCTAGCCACCTCCAAGAGCCCTGAGCATTTTCTCAGCTCAGAGATGGGGCCTTGGCTGCTGCCCTCCAAGACAGCCATATTGGGTGATGTGCCAGGCTGAGCCCTCCACTGGGAGGAGGACGTTAAAGTAGGATCGCTATTGCCCTCAGCCTCTCTTGGGACTCACTCTGTTATTTTCCAGCTTCCTCAGAGATGGGGACATAGGGTGAGGGTGGACTGGGGGCCTCCCTTGAGAATCAGTCATAGGAAAGTAATGACCGACCACTGACCATGGGGCTGGGCTGTGTCCTATGTGTGACCATCTTGGGCTGGGCAAGCTTCTCCCAGAGCAGGAGACTCAGTTTATTTCCCCTCATGAATCAGTGAGCACCCCAGAAAGTGTCCTTCTTTTCCAGAAGGTTCCTGCTGACTGGTTCTCTGATCCTTATGTTCCCTCAGGCGACTAAGCTACCGGAGAGCCACGGGCACCCTGCCGAGTCCCCAGAGCCTCAGGAAGCCCCCTTGTGAGTAAATGGTCAGGGATGGCAGTGCAGGGAGGGGCTGCAGTTAGGACTGGGGGGCTTTGTGTAGGAAAGAAGCAGGTACTGGGATGGAGGGGACACCAGGGTCCTGTCTGAGCTCCAGAGGAAGGAGGGAGGGGATGGGAAGAGAGATGAGGAGAGAAAAGGGGGTAGGTTGGGGGGAGCTATTCCCCGGAGAGGAGCTGCTATGTTCGGGGACTACAGCTGATACTGGGGGGCATGTTAACACCTCTCTCAAAAGTGTGTGCAAACCTGTGTGTGTGTGTGTGTGTGTGTGTGTTGGGGAGAGGGTCCATAGCTTTCACTGGATTCCTAAGGGGCTCTCTGACCCTGACAGTTTGAGAACCACTGATGTTGGAAGGGAATGGAGATGCTATGAGTGATCCTGCTTATTTGTTGGCAGCCATATTTGGCAAATAAAAATAAAGGATGCCCAGTTAAATTTGAATTGCAGATCAACAGTACATTTTTAGTAGAAGTAGACTTATACGAAGAAATTATCTCTTGTGATCTGCAATTCAAATTTAAGGAACTGTGCCATATTTTACCTGGCAACCCCACTCTGTGTTGCACTTACCATTTAGAAAACACACCCACCTACCTTCTTGCCTTTTAATTATCAAACAGCCCTGTGAAGTAGTGGCATCAGGGCATCCCCCTTTCCAAGATGGGGAAAAAGAGGCTCATGAGGTCAAGGGCATGGGGCCGGGGCCAGGTTTGCAGAGAGCCTGTGATCAGAGCCCCCAGCTTAGAGCCCCATATGGAAAGGAAGCTTCGCCGGCATACAGCCTTTCTGGCCCAGAGGGGCTTGGAACCAAGTGAGGGACCTGAACAGGTGCCAGGTGACTGGAGTACAGCTGGCCTGTGGCTCTGCTCCATGCCACAGCTGCCCCCTCAGGCATCTGCCTTTGACCAGGCAAGTCTCAAACCCCAGGAAAGAGAGAGCAGGTCCTGTTCCCACTGTAAGCCCCCTGGACTGCGCTGCTCCCCTGGCGCAGCGACCACTGCCCACCACCGCTCTCCCAGACGCTCTCAAGTCAGAAGGGCTGCTGAGTAAATTGGCCCTGAGGCTGCTTACGTGTGAAGAACTGGCTTTCTTTAGCCCGCTAATGAGACACAGGAAGCTGATTAGAGCAAGTCTTGGTTTAATAATGCACCACAGCTCGGATCACAGGCTCATTGGAGGAAAGAAAGAGGGGACAGATGGAGAGCTCCTTAGGCACAAGCGACCACGGCTGCCTCTCAGCCGCAGGGCCTCCTGGTTCCCCTCCACTAACGCTGTTCCATCTGTCTTTTGTGCAACCGCAGATGATCAGCCTTGTGACAAAGGTAGGCCCAGTATCTGTCCCCTGTGTGCACGGACAAGACCCCTTTTCTGTAGAACGTCTGGGGCTGGAAGGGCTTGCTTCCTCCCTCCTGCCCTGGGGTGGCTGTGCCCCTCCAGCCCTTTGCACACCTTTCCCTGCTCTGCCAGCTGGACCCGTTCCTTGAGCTGTGCAGAGCTCCTCTGTCAGCTGGCACACAGGGTTGACTGTGACCTGGATGGTAGGAGGGTGGGGCAGGGCAAGTGAGTCTCCCTTCCTTATTCACAAAGATCTTAACTTAGAGGGGCTGGGATGGGGCTTGCTGGCCCAGAGCCCCTGCCAGGGCCCGAGAAGGCTGCTTGGGGACTAAGCATGGAACACTGAGTGAAACAGAAGAATTTGTTTTTCTGGGATGACTAGGACATGGCTCTTCTTCTGAACCCTCTAAGACACCATCCTTGGGGGTGCCATGCTTGACCATCCAGGGCTGGGGACCTCTGGGCTACAGTGTGGGCCCCCAGCAGGGCTCACAGGTCTCCCTCTCTCTTTGGTTCCCAGAGACCTGTGACTGTGAGGGGTACCTCAGGGGTCACTACGTGGGTAAGTAGCGGGGGCTCTCCCCCCATAGGCCCTCCCCCTGCTATGCACAGCCCATCCTGGGCCCCTGGGTCAGGGAGCGACAGAGGCAGAGTGATCTGAGCCCCAGGAACCTTGGGAGCAGCTGAGCCTGTGGGACCCACGTTACCCTGCAGCCTCTGTCAGCCAGAGGAGGGGCTCACCTGCCCAGGCCTGGGGGCCCCCACTCCAACTTTTATCCAGCCCCTGGATGCCAGAGCCCAGGCAGAAAAGAGAAAGGGACCACTTCATCAATACTGTTTTTATCATCATCTGATCTCAGTTACAGTTTATTCCATGTTTGTGCCACTACTGTGCAGTAATGAAGCCTCTTCCCAGTCTCCAGAGTACCTTCACTTCTTTTGTTTTGGCTTATCTTTTAAAAGGCCTTAGAGACAGTCAAAGTTTTTTAACTTTTCATCATGAAGTGCAGTTATTCCTTGAACAAGGTGAGGATTAGGGGCACCAACCTGTGCACAGTTGAAAATCCACACACAACTTTTGACTCCTCAGAAACTTAACTACTAATAGCCTCCTGTTGACCATACTGATAATAGTCAATTAATGCATATTTTATATGTTATATGTATTATGTACCATATTCTTGTAATAAAGGAATCTAAAGAAAATTTTTCTCCAAATTGTTACAATCTCCAAAAAATTGCCCAATGTACTTACTGAAAAAAATCTGCATGTAAGTGGACCCAATGCAGTTCAAACTCATGTTATTCAAGGGTCAACTGCCATTTCAAACCTCCTGAGAAGTTGTGAGAATTGTACAAAAACTGCCATATGCTCTGTATCCAGGTTCACCAGTTGTTAACACCTTGCCGTGTTTGCTTCATCATGTTCCCTTTTTCTGCAGACACTTTTTCTGAGTCATGTGAGAGTTGTAGATACTATGTTTCTTCACTTCTAAATATCTCAGTATGTATCCCCTGAGGACAAGGGCTTTCTCTTCTGTAACCCAGAGTGATTATCAAATACTGGGAATTTAACATGCTTACAGTTCTATTGTCCAATATACTGGTCATACCAAAATTTTGGCAATTGTCCCAATAATGTCCTTTAGTTCATTGTCCCCTGATCCAGGATGCAATCCGGGACCATACATTGCACTTGTAGATTTGTATTCCTATTTCATGGATGAGGAAATTGAGGTTCAGGGAGGTGAAGAGTTGCCCAAGGTCAGTCACATGCTAAGTAAAAGTGACCTTGAGCCCTAATTTTTGTATGCCAGGTGGTTATCCTTCCACTATCCTGTGCATCCTGATCAACCCCTTCCCATAGCAGGAGGTGGTTGGGAGAGGCTAGTGGAACTCAGCCCACCTCCATGTCTGGCCAAGTGGAGACAGTCTTTACTAGGAGATCTGGGATGAAAGCTGTGATTCCCTCTGCCCTTCCCTCGAAGCTGGTCTTAGGCGGAGCTTCCAGCTGGGCCGCAGACAGAGGCTAGGAAGCCCACAAGAAGGAAATGCATCCATAGGAGGCGAGTCTCCAGAGCTGCTGACCTATGAGGAGGTGACCAGGTACCAGCACCAGCCTGGTGAGCGGCCTCGCCTGGTGGTTCTGATTGGTAGGTGACTCCTGAGTTTCCAGGGAGTGGGCTGGTTTCCTCCTGGAGGGGTGGGGAAGTAGCTCCGTCAGGACTGGTCAGCCTTCCCTTTGTTTCCCAGGGTCTCTGGGAGCCCGACTACATGAGCTGAAGCAGAAGGTGGTGGCAGAGAACCCACAGCACTTTGGTGTTGCGATTCCACGTAAGAGGGCCCATGTGGGCATGTGTGTGTACACATGACTATTTCAGGGGGACTTGACTTCCTATATCCATCCTAATCCTTACTTTGGGTCTGAGGGACTGAGAGCCACTGCCTGACAGAGGCAGATGCAGATCGTGGGTCCTGGGCACGAGGAGAAGTGGCCCACTCTCGGTGGTCCACTAGGACCCTCTGATGTAGAAGCTGGAGGACCACTTGCCTGGTTCCTGCCTGGCAGAGGGGAGGGGAGTCTAGAGCACATTGCAGGCAGAATGGCAACCTCAGTCTGACACCAAGGGGCCCCTGGTCATGGGAGAATTCCATTCTCCTCTTTGCAGCGACTGACGCCGATGGTCCCTGTTCTCTGCCTGGGTAAGAGAGCAGGTCAGAGAAGCCAGAGAGCCCAGTGAGAGATATCACTTGGGCATGCTCTTGTAGTTGGATTCTGGCCCACCAGAATGGCTGGGCACATTTTTGTGTGATAACATCCCTGCTGATTCTGAGTCTAGAGGCAGCTGGAGATGCCGAGATCCTTGGTTGAACATGTGAAAAGGAGAAGAAGAGCCTAGGAACTATACTGAGGGCTTTTATGTGCAGTAACTTGGTCATCCCTTCCTGTACCCCTGAGAAGAGGGGTTATCGTCATCCCGTACTGCAGAGGAAGACAGGCTCAGAGAGGTTATATAACTTGCCTGGTGTCACACCAGGTTGGTAAGTGGTAGAGTCATGATTCAAACCCAGCCAGCCTGTCGTAGTCACATCCTTAACAAGGCCACACAATGGCCTCTCACCTCTGCCTGCCACTTCCTGTCCGTGGCTGTCCCTTCCCTCTCTGGGACTCACTCTCAGTCCTTCTGGGCTCAGAGGGAGGCAGTGTGGGCTCCTGGTTGCCACCAAGAGGGCATGCTGTGGCAATAGTAATGAGACCTTTCTAGAATGTTCTGAGAAAGGGCAGGTACAAATCCTTTCTTTTCTATACCACTCTGCCCTGAGCCTCCGGGCTCATGGCCCAGTCTATGGGCCCTATATGAAGTGGCGGGGTGTTGGGAAGGCCATCTGGCAGCACGCCTGTGATGGACTCGGTAGGCTCCAGCAGGCCCCTGCCTTCCAGGATGGACTGAAACACGACATGCAGACATTGCTCACACCTGGGATAAGAAACCCAGATCCATCCCCAGGGGGAGAGGTACCCACATGGTCAGGTCTACCTGCTTCCAGGCACCCCACAGATAGGTAACTTTCCCTCTTGCTCTTAGAAACTGAGGGAGTCAGGGAAGGCTTCACAGAGGCAGTGACTTTTATGCTAGGGTTGGAAGCATAAATAGTTTTCCAGGCAGAGAAGAAAGGAGGAGTTTTGTAAACAGGGAATGACATATGTGCAGAAGGATGAAGGTGTGACCCAGAGCAGCAGCATTAGGAACTGGGGAAGTTAGTGTGGATGATGTAGGGGGAGATGAAGCTGAATCAGAAGCTCAGTAGAGAATGAGGGTCTCAGATACTCCTCTGTCTTCAGAATGTGATCAGTGGGTGAATTAAGTTTTTGAGCAAGGGAATGACATGGTCAGGAAGGTGACACTGGCAGCTCTGTGAGAGGTTGGGCAAAGATGCCACATGCAGAGGACACATCCTTGTGGGTGGCTCCCAAGGGCCAGAAAACACTGTCTTTCAAGATCCCGTCTTTTCTTTTGGAATGCTCTGGAAAAAGCTGTGTTGCTTCATGTGTGCTCCTGTCCTGTGAAGGACCTGATTTCCCCCAGGAGCGTGCATCTTCATTCTATTGCAGAAATCAGTGCACAACAGTACGTGTCTTAAAGTTATTTGTGTGAGAACTTTGCTGAATGAAATACATCTAGTCAATCAAGGGATTGTCTTCATGTGACTGAATAAAGAATTAAAAGCATACAGGAGGGTCATCTGTATTTGTGTCCCCTTTGCTCTTAAAGAAGAAAAACTAAGGAAATGAAAGCTTAGCACTGGGGACCCCTTTAGCAATTCTTCGAAAGCCTCAGCATCAGGGAGCAGTCTAGCGGAGTGGTTATAGGCAAGCACGTGGCACGAGACAGCAAGGACCCTGCCTGCTACCAGCCAGCTGCGAGACTTCAGGCTCAGTGCCTCCTTTCGCCTACATCACAGAGTTGTGCCTGCAAGTGGCACCGCCTGATGCACAGGGCCACAGGATAAATGCAAGTGGTTGGTTTCTGCACAAAGCAGAGGTGAACTCCTGAAAGGAATGAGGACACAGGCTTGCTGCTGTCCTCACTTACTGTGATGTGACATCTCTTTGCCCAGCTTTTCTTCTTTCTTTAAAAGATACCACCAGGCCCCGCAAGAGTCATGAGAAGGAGGGGGTGGAATATCACTTCATCTCTAAGCAAGCATTTGAGGCCGACTTACATCACAACAAGTACGTTGGCTTGCCGACCCAGTCGGTCCTCTGCAGCTGTGTGTCTTTGTGCCTGTCCAGGGTTCCACTTGACCTCTGGGGGGCGCTTTTGGAAGAGATGGGGGTGCTGGAGAGAAGTTGTGGCGGGAGGTGCATTCACCTTTCTGTGCCTATTTAGGCAAGCTCAGGAACTGAAGGCCTTTTCTCCTTTGGTGGTATTTTAGGTTCCTGGAGCATGGTGAATATAAGGAAAATCTCTATGGGACCAGCCTGGATGCCATCAAGGCTGTGATGGCCAAAAACAAAATTTGTTTGGTGGACGTGGAGCCAGACGTGAGTTTGGGCCAGTTGGCATGTCCTATTAATGGAATGTATGAACTAGGGGATTGTACATTTTTCAGAACATCTGACCTCAGTCTAAGGAATTTTTAGTCCAGAGCACCAGATGTTAAAATTCTCTTAGGTCTCCTTTTGAGAATCTACTGAAAGCTGTGTACTCCACAAGTACATTAATTGTAGGGAGCTTGTGGACTTAGGTAGGATAGTAAGCTGTGCATGGAGTAAACCATGCCGTAGATGGTGGCACCCACTGGCCACTGGTGATATGACAGGGAATTAGATGGAAAGGCACAGATGGCAGCTGGGGCGCAGCTCCGTCAGGCTCTCCCTTCCTGGACCAGGTTGGCTCGGAATCACCAAGGGAGGTGGTCACGAGAGCAGTTTGAAAGGGAGAAAGAGATGTGAGCCTCAGAAGCACTTCAAAAACATTTCCAGTTCTGCGCGCCTTGCATGCTGTGTGCTTGGCAGGGCTGAACCATCTTTTTAACCTTGTCTTTGAGAAACACTTCTAAACTTTGAACTCTGTGGATTTTTTTTTCCTCTATAGAAACAGAGCTCTGATTTTATGATATATCCCATAGACTTCATTTTACAGGAGTTTGCTTGAAACAGCACATTATGTTATAATGGCAAACCCTCCCTAATTTGGACTAATTGGGAGTTGGAAATTGAAATTGAAAGTCTGAATTTAAAAATTTTATTTGAAAAGTGATTTTATTGAGGTTTTTGGGGGTTGGGGTGCTGATTGTGCATACAGCAGTTTAACACCAGAATTTCCAAATAGAGGCCCTTACCTCATAGATAAAAACACTCATTAAAAAAAAAGCACTCATTTTTATCTATTTAAAAAAAAAGGTGGTTTGCACATTGAAAGCCTTGTGAAGTCTTTACAACTTGTTGCAAGTGATTTCTTACTGTCTCTTCACTTGCTTAGCAAACTTTTTCTTTGACTATCAGAAGGTGGCCTCTGTGATGCACACATTTTGGTTAGTGTAGTCCTAATTGATGGCATTTAAGTAGATACCCACTGAATCCCACTGGTTCTTCCATCGGGACTGGGCCAGGGGAGAAGGGTGTAGGAAGGTTAATTAGCACCTGTAGGGTCAGAACCAAGAGAGATGGCAGCTCTCAGAGATGAGGCTTTGGAACCTCCGTTCTCAGCAAGTGGTTCCTCAGGGCCCAGCTGCGTCCAGTGTCAGGGTGGATAGTGGGAGAATGAGCAGTTCGTTAGCCCAGTTGAAGCCCGTTGTCATGACTGTGTAGTCAGTGTGCATTGAGAGTACAGGATGAAGCACACCATTACTGAGCATTTGAAAAGTATGTTTCACAATAAACTATTTCCCAAGTATATAATATTCCTGAACTTTGTTTTGCAGGCCCTGCAACAACTGAGGACCTCAGAATTCAAACCCTATGTTATATTTGTAAAGCCTGCAATTCAGGAAAAAAAGACGCCACCCATGTCCCCAACTTGTGAGGACTCGGCAGCCCCACTTGTAAGTTTAAAGTTGATCATTTATTTTCTGAAGGCCTAAAAGGGCCACTTATAGCTGCATAAGGGTGTTTGTTCCTTCTGTACAAGACCATCTTTCCATTTTGCCTGCTGGCCGCACTTAGATGGTTACGTAACTAGAATGTTCAAGGTGGGGCAGTGGAAGTGTCTCCCAATTCAAACGGGGTTCGCCATCCTCCCATTCCTCACTTAACCAGCTTCCCAGAAAATAAGGGACTGACATCTGTCAGGGACCTGGTCTGAGGGTGACAAAACACACTAATATGTTAAGCTCCAAAACCAAACCAAGTAGCTTTTAATTGAAGTACCAGCTTCAGATCCAGCAAGCTAACACAGCATGGGGGCAAGAGGTGGCATGGGAGGAATCTCTCCTGTGTGCTGTTCAGGACTGTGACTCTCATGCTGAAGTCACAGGGGCTGAGTTGCACCTTTACAGGCCAAGAAAAGGGTTCGGGGGATTTATGGCTGCAAAACAAATGTCACACATTTTACTCCATTAGAGATTGACTTGAGTTCTTTCAATATGCAGATATTCATTAGGAAGATTGAGGTACTTAGTGGCAAAAATGTTCCTTTTATACTTTCTCAAATAGCTAAATGCTTCCAGGATAGATACCGAGGGTGCCTGTAAGAGGGAAACCCCCAGAAGCAGCAGACGGGCCTGCAGGATGTGTGTGTGTGTAAGGGGTGGGGGAGGTGGGATTGAAGATCCAGGGGTGACACTGGGACAAAAACTGAGCTAATTGTCAGCCAGCTCTACTTATTAGAGATTTTTTTAAAACAAAGAACCGAATGCTGTGCAGGTTGGGTAAAGGAGCGACCTTTGGCTCTCTGTGCTTCAGTGTTAGATGTCAAGAAAGCAATTTGATTAAAGAATTCAGGTACCCTAAGGATATGGGGAGTTTGATCAGGGTTGTCCCAGCACTTAAATAGCTCTGCTTTGTCTGCTGTGCTATGTTTGGCCCTGGTTTGAGGAAATGGAAAAAGAAGAATTGAGTTCTACATTATGACTTTAGGAGTCTCCAGAGAGTATTTGAGTTACTTATTCTCCTTTTTCCCCATTGATTCCCAAAATGTCTTGTTTTGCTTTTATATAGTTCATATTATTTATAGTTCTTTCCTGTAATTACTTAACCAAATTGACATGTAACACAATAGTAGTACTTCTTTGGAAATACCTTTGGACAGGAAGCATGATATTGATAGAGAAATACACACACAAACAGAGATCAGCATCCCCACAAAGCTCCTTATAGCACGCTGCAGTTAACTGGTCCTCAGCAGGTATTTTGTGAATGAGTGACTGAGCATTGATTATGTTTACTGCCCATAAACTTTCCTGGAAGCTTGCTGGTATTGTCACGGCACTCTGTTCTCGAGTACGCCCTTGGTTATTAATGGGCCCTACTCATCTACTCATCATTTAAAAATGAGAGGTTGGAACACTGCCCGAGACAAAGGCTGTAGGTTTCTTACTTTGGGGGAGAACAACACAGTTGCTTTACAGATGCCCTTTTCCTTGCAGGGTGAGGAGCAGCAAGAGATGGCTGCCTCCGCCGCCTTTATAGAGCAGCATTATGGGCACCTGGTGGATGCTGTGCTGGTGAAGGAGGAGCTCCAGAGCGCACACAGCCAGCTCAGAGGGCTCTTAGAGAAGCTGAGCAGGGACACTCACTGGGTACCTGTTAGTTGGGTCAGGTAACTGTATCCTAGAACACCTAGGTGGGAGGGGACCTGGAAGAACACCTAGCCCCGGCAGCCCCATGTTACCATCAAGGAATCTCAAGCATGGAGAGGGCCAGAATTTCCCATAAACTCCCTCATCAAGAACAGTATATGTGGGAAAGTCTTATTTGTTACTGGTTTTTGTCTGTGGTTTTTCACTACACCCTTTTGGGACTGCAAACGTGAGTTAAAAGGGGACATGTTACAAAATAACACATTTCCTTCATTAAAATGTCACAGGCAAGTTGACCCTGATCCTTTGTACCAAAGCTAAGCAGCCACGGGGAGTGTGGGGGATGGTGGTGGTGAATTTATACAGTACTGATTTGCAGAGATGTTTAAGCTTTATAAACAGAGTGACACTTCATTTACCCAGCTTTGTTGGAAATTGAGTTGTTTTACGCAAGGGGATTTTCCCTGCAACTTAAGTTCCCCTGATTCGAGCACTGAAATGTTTATTTTAACCTTTTTGATAGTGAGTGTTTGCTTGGCAATGGAAAACTTGGTTGTCTGCCTTTAAGTAGTGAGCGCACACAAACTGTTCTGGAAGATGAAGGCACACTTCACCGACGCCATGAGTCACGCCATGATACAGTGGTGCTTCCAGGGACTCTTGAGAAATAGGAAGTTGACTGTCCCCTCCTAAATATCCTCGGATTCCTGCAATGGAGCCCTGGCCTTGTTTGATTTGTTCTATTCCATCGCATGTCCCTCTCTAGTTACCGACAGTTGCCCTGGTTCTCGCCTGTCCCACTCGGATTATAGGTACTCCTGTCATGCTAGATCATGGGAAACCAGATTTCCTCTGTCAAAACTATGTTTAAGCCATGATAAATCAGTCCTGTCAAAATTAAAGTACATAGACCCTGAGGGTGGGCCTAATGGGTTGTCCCTGAGCAAAAGTGTTTACTATCAACATAGGATTTATGGTATATCTTAGCTGCTAAGAGAGTTTTGTTTCTTATTAATACCCGATGTATACAAGTCTTTATTCTGTGCCAGGAGCTATGCTAAGGCCTTTATATATACTAGCATAACAGATACACCAAGCCTATGACAGGATTCTTCTCATCCCTATTATACAAATGAGAAAAACAAGGCTTAGAAAGTTGAAATAATGTATCCAAGCTTGCGCAGCTTTTTAAAAAATGGCAGAGCTATAGCATTTGAGCCCACCTTTCCCTAATTCCCCAGATAGCCGTTAGTCACTGTACTGCACTGCCTCCTCCTTCCGTGTCCCATAATTGAGGCTACCTGCTAAATGATTGACTTGTAAATGAGGAATATCTTCCTAGCTAGGATTTACAGTAATAAGCAATGTGGGTGTAACTTCTAAGACTGCAAGAGGCTGCTTACACATGTAAATTTTCAAGTTTTCTTCCTCATGTGAAGAAAAGGAGGCCAGGTTAAGGATGAAGCACCAGTGAGAAGATTTGCTACCCAGGTAGAAATTTCCATTTTGCCTTCTTACACAGAGACAGACACCTTTGCAACTTTCTCGATTGCTAACCTGGTAGGTCCACCTAACAGAATCACCTTCTTCAGAGCTTTCTAGCAAAAGGATGAGGACATCTTTGCACTGATAAAGTACTGGATTCTTATCAAGAGAAATTAGTCCTGAGCCTCTCTACATAGAACTAGGGCAGGGAGGGCAAGCAGCCCCTTGAAGTGTGAAAGGCACATGCACAGATGTGTGTATTACACAGGAAAGCCAACATCTAAAGTCAGCTCAGGAAAAAACACGTATGTCGAAATGACTCTTGGGAAATCCCGCAGGGGTTCTTAGCAATTCTCACCTGAATAATTTTCCCTCCAGTGTAAGAACACAGTGGTTGAGCACCAGATGAATTTTTTTGTATTTCATACAACTGAACAAACATTTTCTGCTTCTTAACATTTTTACACAATTGTCAGGTAAAGTGGTAATAAGTCTCTTCATGCACATTATGAAGCAAGGCATTAAAATGGGATGCCTGCTTTATTTCCTGTCAAATAGCTTCCCCACCCTAAGACAAGCTATGTCTATAGCTGTTTGTCTGCTACTAAATCTGTGAGAGTAGAATGGATTGGGCCCCAGAGACAGAGGTCATTTGTAAAGTGTTTTTCCTGTTTGTAAGAAACAGAGAAGTCTGGTTTTAAAAACTCACCTATTTACAAATATGTATTGGTGGAAAGTGTGCAAATGCAACATCAGACCCCATTCCAGCTAGCAATCCATACATTCTGAGACCCTGGGCAAATTTTTGCCAAAGTCCATTGCCTTGGGCCCCCACATCAAGAAACCTATTATGTATCCTTCAAGGTGTTACTTTTTTCCGCCTTGGACCTTTAAACTCAGGCAAGCTGTCTGCCCGTGTCTACAAGCAGAGAGAATGTGAGCTCTAGAGGACTTTTCTAGGCCAGGTGTGTTAAATGTCTGAGATGTTTGTGCTGCCATGTTCATTCTTACACCCATGGCAGACAGTACTAATCCATCACAGCACTCTCCTGCTGCATCTAGGCAAAGTGTTTGAATCTTTCCGGACAGAGTATTCAGTATTAATTGAGCAGAATTAGCAAGTGAGTTAATCCTGTTTGTTATCCTTGATCCATCAATTTGTAACCTTCTCTGGCATCCCTGTAGGAGATGAGTTTAAGAAAGTTACAACCATCCTTCCTTCACAGGCAAAGCTCAGCTGTTCAAACATTAGCTAGTTGTGCTTTCACCATTGTATGTTCAAATACATGTATGCTTTAGGACATGTGACCATTTGTCCAGTGTCACATCATTTTTGCCACCAGTCACAGGATCATGCATTCAAAAAATGATAGCACTTGGTGATTTTTAAAAAATAACTACAGACCAGCATATGCACAAAGTTGTTCTTAAATCATACAGTTCAGAACCAATAAGCAGAGTTTATCTGGAGTTAATATGGATCAATTTCTTACTCTGCTTTTTTCTTACCCTTGGAATACATAGTCTCTAACCATCACTTACTTTGCAAGTCAGGCTTGTAGTCTTAGAACAAGATGGTTTAGAATCACCTTCCCCCTGTCTCCTATAAATGCAACTAAAAACTTTGGGAATTTTTTAAAAAGACAATGATAGAAGGACTCTGAAAGCTGGAAAGAAGATGGTGGGCTGACTAGGGACCTCAGGACTTTGGAAACAACAATGTGGTGAGTGCCCTTGGTTTTCCGTTTATCTCTCATATACCCTGGATTGGGCCCTGGAGAGGCCTGCGACCCAGAGCCACCTACAGGCACAGACAGGGAAGAAAAGAGAGAAAGAGAGAGAGAAAGGAAAGAAGGAAAGAAGAAAGAAGGGAGAGGGTAGGAGGGAGGGAGGGAGGAAGAGAAAGAAAAGCTTACTTTCTCAGCCAAAGGACAGAGAAGGGGAAAACCAATAGAGACCTCATGAGTTGACCCAACCCTAGTTCCACCCCAGGGCACCAGCAGGTGGTCCAGTTCATTCACAGCAGCAGCGGAGTCCTGCGTTTCCCTGCCCTCCACACAGTGGCATAAGGAGACCCAGCAGTGTCTGCCTGCCCCTCTGCAGAAAGTGGCCCAGCGACAACATTCAGTCCAGGAAAGTACCTTCCAACACCACAAAAGGCACCAGCAGGGATTGAGTGGGAGCCCCAGCTGCCCCAAAGAACAGAGCATACCAGAATTGTATTTGGAGGGCTCAGAACACCGAACTGCCATTGGAAGTAAAACCCATAAAAGAAGCAAGAGCCTGTACACTACATGCAAACAGGACTGCCACCTGCTAAAACAGTTGAGTAAATAGGATTGAGCAATTCCTACCCTGATAACCCAAATGTCCAGGATACAACAGAAAAGCACTCATTATACCCCAAATCACGAAAACCATAGTCTAAATAAGAACAAGGCAGTCAACTGATACCAATACTGATGTGATTCAGATGTTAGAATTTATCTGACAAGGATTTGAAAGCAGTTGTAATAAAAATGGCTCAATGATGAATTAGAATTTCTCCTAAAAAAAATCTTAGCAAAGAAGTAGAAATTATGAAAAAGAACCAAATGGAAATTAGAAAAATGAAAAATTGTACAATTTAGAACTCGGATGAACTCAATAATAAAGTCAAAATGACAGATCAAATCAGGTTACTTGAAGACAGATCAGTAAAATTTACTCTGAACAACAGACTGGAAAAAAAACAAAAAAACTCAGGGACCCATGGGACAATAATAAAAAGAACTAACATTTGTACCAGTCCCAGAAGGAGAGGACACAGTGTGGGACCAAAATATTCAATATAAGTAATCTTCTGAAAACTAAAGACTAAGAAAAGATCTTAAAAACAGGGAAACAACCAGGAAGGAACACTGTCACATTTGTTTTAGTGTTGCCTACAAAAGACACTGGAGGCCAGAAAGAAGGGATGCAACATTTACCAAGTGCTAAAAGCAAATAAGTGTCCATCTTGGATCCTGTATGTGACCACACTGTCCTTTAGGAATGAAGAAGAAACAAAAACATTCTTAGAGGAAGGGAAACTAAAGAGTTTGTTGTGGTCTACCCTGAAAAATGGCTAAAGGAAGTTCTCCAAACAGAAACTAGCAGAAGGCTGGGACCTTCAGGAAGGAAAAAACAAGAGAATAGGTAATAACGGACTGTTCTTCACCTCTTGAATTTCTTTACCCATACTTTCTGGTTGAAGAAAGTTATGCCACCATCTGATGTGGTGTTCAATATATGTATGGATAGAGAGTAAGGATAGAAAATGATAGTAGTGGCTACATTAATACCAGATAAAGCAGACTTCAATGAAAGAAAAGTACTGGGGACAAAGAGGGACATTATATTATCGTAGAAGGATCACTCCACCAAGAAAATAAAGTCATCCTAAATGTGCATGTACCAAACAAGAGCTTCAAAAACATCAAACAACAACTGCTAGAGCTGAAAGGAGAAACAAATCCACAAATACAGCTGGGGATTTCAACATCCTACTCTCAGCAATTGATAGAAAAATTAGACAAAATCATCAAGGATATAGAGTTGAACACCGTTCACCGACAGAATCTGACATTTACAGAACATTTCCCCCCCAAAAACAGCACAACACACATTCTTTTCAAACATCTATGGACTATTCACCCAGACAGACCATATTAACAAATTTAAATTTGTTCCCAGATCATAATGGAATCAAACTAGAAATCAAAAAATAGAAAGACAAGAAGAAAAATCTCATTTGAAAGAATACCTAATATAATTGAGCAATTCATAGAAACTCCTTGGAGAAGGCGCTGTCTTATAAATACTTAATAAGGAATAGGTGTTGTCTGGTAAATAGGTAGAACTATGGCTTTTTCAGCTAGAGGGGACAACATACAAATAAATGGAGAAGAAAAACACATCTTCCATGAGGTGAAAAAGGCAAGGAGTGATGAGATAGAAGGTTGTAGATGTTTGTCATTTTTGTGGAATTCTGGTATCTAAGCCTCATTCTAATTTGGAGACATTTTCCTATCTTAACAATTTTGGGAGAGAAGCAGACCTGTGTCCAGAGGTGGAAAAAACCAGATACTCATTTTCCCAGCCTCCCTTGCAGCTAAGGAATGGGCATATGATCTTAGGTATACCAGTCACATACACTGATACACTGACTTGGAATTGGTAGCTAGTGACACAAAAGGGCAGGGACAGTGAAGACTTTTCCAAGACAGTAGTGGCAGGCCAGCAGGACCTGACTACGGTACAGCAGGGGCAGCACTGTGAACAGCAACACCTAGACCAGTTCTACAGCAAGATTTGGTCTGTTATCCCTTGATGTGTAGCTTGAAGCTTGGTTCTTCAGTTTTCTAGGAAATACTGTTCACTAATTCACATTCTTTTAATAAATTATTTCACGAAGTTATTGTTGCTTGAAGCTAAGAACTCATATTGACAGAGGCTGCAAAGAGAGGAGGGACAGAACCATGGGGTCCTTGTGTACCACATTAAAAGTATGGCTCATTCTGAAAATAGTTCTAAAATTCATATGGAACCACAACACCCTGAATAGCAAAAGCAATCCTGAGAAGGAAGAATAAAGCAGGGGGAATTATGCTCCCTGAATTCAAGCTCTACTACAAAGCCACAGTAATCAAGACAATTTGGTACTGGCACCAGAACAGACCCATAGACCAATGGAATGGACAAGAGAGCCCAGATATAAACCCAAACATATACGGTCAATTAATATACGATAAAGAAGCCATGGATATACAATGGGGAAATGACAGCCTCTTTAACAGCTGGTGTTGGCAAAACTGGACAGCTACATGCAAGAGAATGGAACTGTATTATTGTCTAACCCCATACACAAAAGTAAACTTGAGATGGATCAAAGACCTGAATGTAAGTCATGAAACCATAAAACTCTTAGAAGAAAACATAGGCAAAAATCTCTTGAATATAAACATGAGCAACTTTTTCCTGAACGCATCTCCTTGGGCAAGGGAAACAAAACAAAAAATGAACAAATGGGACTACATCATGCTGAAAAGCTTCTGTACAGAAAAGGACATTATCAGCAGAACAGAAGGCATCTCCAAAGAAGAAATTCAGATAGCCAACAGGCACATAAAGAGATGCTCCACATCACTAATTATCAGGGAAACGCAAATTAAAACCACAATGAGATATCACCTCATGCCAGTTATGATGGCCAACATAGAAAAGACTAAGAACAACAAATGCTGGTGAGGATGCAGAGAAAGGGGAACCCTCCTACACTGCTGGTGGGAATGTAAACTAGTTCAACCATTGTGGAAAGCAGTGTGGAGGTTCCTCAAAAAACTCAGAATAGAAATACCATTTAACCCAGGAATTTACCCTAAGAATGCAGTTTCCCAGTCTCAAAAAGACATATGCACCCCTATTTTTGCAGCACTATTTGCAATAGCCAAGAAATGGAAGCAACCTAAGTGTCCATCACTAGATGAATGCGTAAAGAAGATGTGGTACATATGTACAATGGAGTATTACTCAACCATGAGAAGAAAACAAATCCTACCATTTGCAACAACATGGATGGAGCTAGAGGGTATTTATGCTCAGTGAAATAAGCCAGGGAGAGAAAGATAAGTACCAAATGATTTCACTCATCTGTAGAGTATAAGAACAAAGAAAAAAACTGAAGGAACAAAACAGCAGCAGACTCACAGAACCCAAGATTGGACTAACAGTTACCAAAGGGAAAGGGACTGGGGAGGATGGGTGGGAAGGGAGGGAGAAGGGGAATAAGGGGCATTATGGTTAGCACTCATAATGTAGCAGGGGGAGGGGTGCACGGGGAAGGCAGTATAGCACAGAGAAGACAAGGAGTGATTCTATAGCATCTTACGCTGATTGACAGTTACTGTAATGGGGTATGTGGGGGGGACTTGATAGTGGGGGGAATCTAGTAACCACAATGTTGCTCATGTAATTGTATATTAATGATACCAAAATTTTAAAAAAAGAAGAAAAAAATTAAAAATAAGGTAGACTTTGTTTCCTAGAGCCTAATTTCTATTTCTGGATGTGCTCAAACCACCTGTCCCACTCTTAAGGTCTTATCCTCTTGGGCTGCTTGTAATGAAGCACAGTAGAAATGTAGATGGTTTCAGATTTATGGTATGCCCTACAAATGTTCATACTTACCTTTAAGTAAAAAGAACAACAACAAAAAAGTGTGGCTCATTTTGGAAGGAATGGCAAGCACTGATGGTGTTAAGCTAAAAAGTGATAGGGACATACCATACCAGTCATAAACCACAAGTGCTTGAAATACGAGCCATTGCACGTACAGAGACTGAGCAGTAGGACCGGTAGATTTAAACTATATAGTCAGGGGGAAGGGGAAAAACAGCAAAGTAAAGGATGAACCCCAGGTTTCCAACCTGGATGTCTAGAAGAATGGTGATTCCTCAAACTGAGATGAACTGGAACCAGTTAATAATGAGTTTATATCTGGACATACTGATTTTTTTTCTTAAAAATTTTTATTTTAAGATACCTGTAAATTTATGTGTGTAAGAAAGAATACAGAGAGATCCTCTGTATCCCTTACCTAGTTTCCCCAGTGGTAGCAGACTGCCGTACTATAGCCAATATCACAATTGTATGTTGACACTGATATGGTCAAAACACAAGTTTCATCAATGATAAATTGGATGTCATCAAAATTAAAATACTTTGTTCTGTGAAAGACCCTATTAGGACAAAAAGACAAATTACAGACTGAGAGAAAATATTCTGCAAATCATATATTCAACAAAGGATTTGCATCTAGAATATATAAAGAATTCTCAGAATTCAATATTGAAAAATGAACAATCCAATCAGAAAATTAGCAAAAGATTTTCATAGACATTTCACCAAAGAGTATATAACAGGTGACAAATAAGCATATGAGAGATACTCAACTTCATGAACAGAGAAAAGCAAATTAAAACCACATGAGATGTCACTATACACATATGGGATTGGCTAAAATAAAAGGTGTTAACATCAAATGCTGGTGAAGATGTGGAGAAACTGGCTCACTCATCCATTGCTGGTGGGATGTAAAATGGTATAGTATCTCTGGAAATCATTTTGCAGTTCATTTTAAAATGGATTTACCATACAACCCAGAAATTTCACTCTTGGGCATTTATCCCAGAGAAATTAAACTTGCTTTCAGCAGAAACTTGTACACAAATATTCATAGCAGCTTTATTCATTCATTAAAGTAAAAAAACTAGAAGCTACCTAAATGTCCTTCAGTGAGTGAATGGTTAAACTGGTACATCTATACCATGGAATTCTACTCAGCAGTAAAAGGGAATGAACTATTGATGCACATAACGGGTGAACCTCAAGGAAATCATGCCATTGCATATACAGAGCCATTGCACTGTATGAAAAAAGCCAATCTTAAAAGAATGGATACTGCACAATCCCATTTATGTAACATTCCCAAAATAACAATTATAGAGATGGAAAACAGGTTAGTAATTGCCAGGGGTTAGGGATAGTAGGAAAAGGGGAGCTGTGGCTAAAGGGGAAGTACAATAGAGTTTTTTTATAATGGTACAGTTAACTTGAATATGATGATAGTTCCCTAAAGCTACACATGTGATAAAATTTCATAGAGCTATACATGCGCATGCAAATGAGTGCATGTATAACTGAAATTTATGTATGCTCTATGGATTGTACTAATGTCAACTCCAGGTTTCATATTGTACTGTAGTTACATGAGATGCTGACAATAGGAGAACTTATGTGAATGGCACAGAAGGCCTGTACATTTATTTGGGACTTTCTGTGGGTTTAATGATTTTAAAATGAAACATTTATTTCTAATGAGAACATTTAAGAGTTACTCTCTTTCAAAATAAATAGTTTAAAAAGTCAGGTTCAAAACCAACACGACCAGTCATAGAGACCATGCAATGTCGTCTTACAAAATGTTTCAAGATGTTTGTGATGTTTTCACAGTTGCTGCTCTCTATAAATGAACAGAGTGCATGGAAACTTCGACAAAGCATTCTCTTCTAATTCTGGGTATTTACAGAGGAACTAATGACATTTGTTCTCTGTGTTGTCTGAACCTTAATTTCTTTTTGCGCTTTTGTTTTCCATTTTAACAGAGGGGAACCTGTGGCTGGATCACCTCACCCCACCTTTACTCCCCGCAGGGTGGTGGTGGTGATGTATGTTTTTAAAAGTTTTCTCTCTCTCTCACTAAAAGTTCTTTTCATAGCCCCAAGTTAAAATGCTTATTTGCACCTTTCTTTCTCTCTCCATTTTGGGATGGGACTTAAAGCCTTTGGGTATCTTAAGTATAACTTACTCATTTTATGTTCCAAGCTTTATTGTAGTATCCTAAGATTGGGCATTCAGCTACTTAGGAGTGTCTTGAGATTCTAAACAGCTAAGAAATCCTAAGACCTTCTCATATATCTTTTCCATGGTGAGTAACTTTGTATTCAGGGAGGAGAGAGGGAGAGAAGTGGAGAAACATTAATTATACACATTACATTGGAAAGCCTGAGTGTTTTTTGTCTTTCTCCTGGGGTGGCAGGGACAGTCATTACTAGTAATGTTAATACCAATGCCAACACAACAGTACTTTTGAATAGTGACAGAGACTCATGATGTAACTTTGGCACAACATTAAAGCCATAAGACCTCCTGTTTATGTCTTACTGAAACAAATCATTTTCTTAGACTCATGGAAAGCCTCAAAGCTGATGACGAAAGACAGTCATTTCCTACTTGTACGGAGAGAGGAAACAGAGAGCTCTAAAATCCCAAAATGGATGGATGACCAATTGACATTATAAAAGAGTAAAATTCATCTCTTTAACTGGGCCCCTTGTTCTCCATCTATACAGTTCTCATGGCTTTGATATCAACTGTGATCACCATATTTTATAGTAAATAAAAATAGCAGCCACGTTAAGACATACCTATGCATCTTGGGAGAGAAGATATCTTGTTGTATTTCTGATATAGCGTCTTGAATTCTTGAAGAAAATAAAAATAAAAAAGATTTATGTCAATGCCAGAGTGCTGGTGCTCAAGCCAAAGTTCCAAGGATGGCTTAGAAAAGGCTTACAGACCAAAGCCAGGGACTGGAGGTTTTTAAAAACACTGTTAGATGGCACTTTTCTCCCCACTTCTTCGAGGTCATTCCCAAATGAAGCAAATCAACCACCGACTGAATAGTACACCCTTCACAGCCTTTGCTTGGAAATTCAACCTTTTTTAATGAATTAAGGAGTGAGGAAAGATGCTACCAGATATTTTTTGAAACTGACACATGGTTTTGCACCAAGGAGATGTCTTTAGCTCTTGGGTGATTTGCCCCTGTTGTTAGCCGTTTGCTCTGGATGGGTTTTTCCTGTCACCGATTGTTGCATTTCTCCTGATCTCGCATTACTCCTGATCTCGCCCTCACCACTTTGAGGTCCCTCCCAGGACAGATGCTACTCCAAACACAGACAAGCCCTGTGTGCACATGGGAATATCACAGAGTGCCCACGTGCCTGCCAGTCTATCTCGGATGACCTGCGGTCATAGTTGGGTTTGCAATCACCAAGCCTCTTCAAAATGCCCTGGTTTTCCATGGTGATTCTCACTAGCTCCCGGTTCTTCATTTCTCTGTTCAAGCTGAAAAACACAAAATCTTGAGATGGGTGAAGTATAAAATTCTCCTCCTGGATGGGAATGGAGGAGATGAAATTGCCACATCATGAACTCTGGCTGCCTAAGTGCAGGAAGCAAGCTGTCCTGAGGCCCTGCACGCTGGTTGGACCAGACTGCACGCTGGGAAACTTGCAAAGCATTGGCAGGTTTCTAACAGTGACTCCCTACCCTCTTGTCCACTAGAAGATTTTACTTTATTGATCTGGGTACAGCTTGGGCATCGGCATTTTGCAAAAGCTCCCCAGGAATTATTATGTGAAACCAGGAATGAGAAGGTCTGGTTTTTATGATGGGGGAAGATCTTGCTTAAGGATAAATTCAAATGGCTGGTGATGTTATGTGTAGCTCACTTCATTCCTCAGCTCTCAACCGTTTCAGATCTACAAGGATATAGGAAAGGCATCCTGACACTACCCACTACACACACACACACACATACAAACCCAGACACACCCATCGCGTCCTTTCCCTTGCATACACTTCCTGTGTAGCCCTGGCCACCTCACTGCATTATTTACATAAATGTCTCCCCTACCAGACCTGAAGTTCTTCAGGGTTAGGAAATATAAATCTCATTTCTTCTCTGTATTCATGGTGCTTAGCACAGAATAGTGGATCAGGAAACATAGAACCAATTTTTAAGAATGCTGTATCATAGTCCAGCTGTGGTGACCATTTTACAAAAGTATGTAGCTCTTTCTTGAGACAAACTCTGAATAGGACTCTGAAAAATCTATTAGATGAAATAAAAACGAGCTCCTTAATGCTAGAGAAAGTTCCCTGTTTTTGCTAGTTTTCATTCTCCTTAACATGACTCCGGGTACCCCTCAGGATGACTTTGCACTAAAACCCAACAAGGGTAAAGTCAATTTTAATTTTTATTAACTTTATGAAAATGAAACGAAGAGAGAAAAAACACTACCTCTTGGAAAAATATTCGTTCCAGCAATCCACCTTGGCAGGACCGCGATGAGCATTTGCTATTTTCTGACACAGTTGCTTGTTTTCATATTTGATTTTGTCAATTCTCTTTTGTTCACCCTGGTAAGAAACCCCACCCCACCAAGTGACATCACCACTACACAGTGCCCTGACACACAGTGGCTCAGCATTGCCTCCTTTGGGCTCTGGGAAAGGAGCAAACTGAGGGCCACTGTGGTTTGAGAGCAGAGCATGGGAAATAGGGTGGCGTGCACGGGGAGGAGGAACATTAAGGAATCTGGGTTAGGTAGGTATTGGGAAGGCTCTAGAAACTAGACCACTTTAGGACATAGATAAAAATCAGTAAGGTACATCTGCAGATGGCAAGAACAAATACCTGTAGCTTGCTCAGTTTTAAAATGTTGTGTGTGTGCACCACTGGAGGTTTGGTATCGACAGTAGGCTTCACTAGAGGAGGATAAAAGCAGTGTCACATCACAGGAGTCTCTCAGCTGCCTTGGAGAACCTACTCACATTTCAGACAACGGCCCTGACTAATACACGTTACGATTTTGAATTCTGACCTTAATCCAGTTCAGGAATTGTAGTTTAGTTTAATTTCCCAAACTGACATCTTTGAAGAGTTTGGAGCAGAAATGAAAAGACTGGTGAGAGCTAGAAAAATAAAACTTAGTGATAAACGAAGTTTGAGTCATTTGAATCCAATGAAGGAGCCTCTCTCCCACCCTTTCCCAGGGACCAGCCTGGCCACTGGATGCTGGGGTCCCAACCTCTCTCTCGCTTACTTGGCTTTCAAGAGTTTAAATGAGCGTTTCCATCAAATGAACTCCCTGGTGGCAGATAAATGTTGTCACTGATGTGACCCAACACAGCAGATCAGGCCATATCATCCATCATATGATCTGATTTACTGTCAGTATCTCTAAGGTGGACCCTTCCAGAACCTTAATCACGGTGTCCAGCCCAATCTCCCCATGTACCTGTTTGTATTCTATTCTTGTGAAAGATGTAGTGGAAAAAGTCCATTTTCATCCTGAAGGTTGTGCTTTGCCTGTGATTAGAGACAATTACAGGGTAAGCTAGATAATCTAGGGAATTGTTCATTTTCTCTTGCTAGTCTCACTTCAGGAATGAGGCATCCAAGCTCCTCTGTGAGGTACTTAGCTGTCCCCATGACGGGTGGTCATAGTTACCCAGTTACGACATCAGGGACAGGTCTCTGGGAAGGAGGAGCAGCAGCAGGGCATGCCTGGCTGTCCCGGGGCTTCTCTTTTGAAAGCCAACCTAGGTTCAAAACAAGATGAGGGGCAAGACTCAGAAGCTTTCCCACCTGCCTGGAATGCAGATGCCACCATCTCATTTGCCTGTCCCTGTGGGAAAAAATGTGATGTGCCAGGAGGGGTTGGGGGATGGAGAAACCCAGCCTTGATTATATTCCCTGAGCTATAGGCTAAGTAATGTCCACTGCCAATGGTTTTTCCCTGAAGGTGTGAGACCACAAGATTTGTGGGGAGGTGAAAGACGACGTGTATGATAATCTGATCCAATTTCTTCATTTTGCAGAGAAAGAAACAAGTCCAGAGCAACAGCCAAGCTGCTTAAGAACCAAGTTAGTGGCAGAACTGGGCTGTGGGTCTCCCGAATCCCAGGACCGTATTTGCTTTTGGGTGGGTGGGAGGATCTTCTTTTTTCCTGCCAGTGGGGGAGGACAGAGACTGTCTTTTGCGCCTAGTGGGATCTCAGTAAATGATGAGTTGCTGACACCAGGCAGTGTCATAGTGGGCTGGGGGTTGCTCCAGGAAGGACAGCAAAGGAGCCCGATTCTCATTTTTATATTAGTATAGGGTGTAGCACCTAAGGGGTCCTCGACAACTTTTGCGGATGAAGAGGGAGAACACCTATGGAGTGCCCACTGTGTAGCACTGGGCACTTTCCTCGAAGGTCACATTTATTCTCTCAAACAACCCCAGGACTTACGTACTATTATTACCACCCCCATTTTTTGTTTTCAGCAAACAGGCTCAGAGATGTTAAGTAATTCCCTAGGGTCAGAATGCAAATCCTGGTTGCACAGGGCCCAAGCCTTTAAGCACGATGCTGACTCTCAATGAATGTCGCAAGAAATGTGCCGCACAGTGGGGTTTCTCAAACTTTAACCGTCCTAGGGATTCCCCGGGGGCCCTGTAAAATACACAGTCTCATTCAGCGGGCCACACCTGGGGCGGAGATTCCCCATTTTTGACAAGCTCCCGGGTGATGCCAACGCTGCTGGTCCGCAGCAGGCAGGGTCGGAGCTCATAAGGGTAACCGGGCGTCCCCGCAATATTGAAAACAAGCGACACGTGGGAGTACCTCGGTCGCTAGGAACAGTTGTTGGGTTATGCATTTAGTTTCCCGAAGTCACTGCGCTTTCCAGTTTATACTGATACAGAAAATGCCTTAGCTGGGGGTGGGAAGAGGACCCCCCCCTTAGCTCAAAGGTGGCGCCACTTCCTTCACCGCGGACAGGCCCGCGAGCTTCCAGAGCGCCCGCCCATCACCCTGCGCCCAGAGGTGCGCGTACCTCCCACGAATGGGGCGCGCGTGGCCGCCGCGCTCCGCGGCTTCCCGCGCCTGGTGGACCCGCCTCCGGGGCGGGACAGGGCGGGCCCCGGCTCGGGAGCCCCCGCCCAGCTGACCCGGCTGCTCTCCCCTTGCTGGCTGCTGCCCCGGCGTGCAGGGCCCGGCAGCCGCCATGTCCGGCCCGTTGGAGCTCTCGGTGCAGGACCTCAACGACCTGCTCTCGGACGGCAGTGGCTGCTACAGCCTTCCGAGCCAGCCCTGCAACGAGGTTACCCCCAGGATCTACGTGGGCAACGCGTGAGTCCCCGCTCCCGAGCCCCGGGCTCGCCGTTCCATCCCCGGAGCGTCCCGCCAACCCTAAAGCTGGGGTGGGGGCGGCGGCAGGCGCGGGTCAGGGCCTGGAGGTGGTCGTCAGTCCGGGACACAGCGGGCTGGGCAGGCGCTGGAGTCGCCTACCACCCCCCGCGCGTGGGGCTCGGGGGCTGGATGTCGCCCCGCCCAGTGGGGTCCTTCCCCTCGCGGGGTGTACGAGCTCGGGGGCCGCTAGGCCCGGCCAGCGTCCTACCCGGAGCCGCCACTAGGTAGGGGCTTGGCTTTGGGCGGGGTCGAGGCTACCATGTTCACTTAACAGGTGGCCCTGGTAGCCCCACCGGTCCGCGAGTCATGTGACAGCTGCCTGGTTCTGCAGTGAGATCACCGCGGAATGTCTGCCTTCGCTGCCATGGCAATGGGCTGACGTCACATTTCAGGCGTGGAACTTTCCCTGCTGGGCTGCCCGGATCAGGGAATAGAAATATTCGCGACCAGGGATCCAGAGGGCTGGGCCTCCCCCGCGTTCCAGATAGGGTTTGATTCACATGGGATTCCAGAATGTTTCAAGGATAAACCCCATAAGGAAATGAGCCCCAACTTAGTAAAGGCCCCTGTTCTTTTTATCACCAGGAAATGCATTTTTATCTATTACAAGTTCTCACCAAATTAATTTTCCCGTTTTCTGTTAGTCAAACTACTAATCAGAATTTCTCAGCAACAGGAGAAAACCAGTGCGAATCATTCTGAGGTGTGCTGAAAAACCAGCCAAAAACAAGGACTAGGTTACCGTGCCTGTACAGCTTTGGGAAGGCTCAGGTTACCCAGTCACTAACGCCCTAAGCCCCAGGGATCAGGGACTGCATGTTGGAAACCCAGGACTAACCCCTTTCCGTTACACATAAGGACATGGTATCCCATCATGGTTGAGGGATTGTGAGGACAGCTTCAATGTCTTGTTCGTGTCTGTATCCCCTCATTGGACTAGGACCTGCTGCTTAGCTTGCTAAGGACTGTCACAAAAATGGGGGTCATCTCAGAGATAGATGAGGTCCCTAAGGCAGGTCCCAGCCTCATGGGAATCGGTATCATCCATTCCATGATTCACTCACCATATTGAACACCGACTGTGTGTCAGGCAATGTGGAATGTTCATTCATAATGATAATGGTAAATTTGTTGAAAGCTGAATTAGTATTAGAGAAGGGAGATGAATGGGAGTGACTCTTCAAAGTCTTTTTTTTCAGTCTGCCATTGCTTTATAATTGTGTTGTGTCTTGAGCAGGGACACCTGAAACAAAAGTCCCAGGGTGTCAACCAAAGGCCTTAATAGTTGCAAAGTTCTGAGGATAACCCCCTGTGCAGCCACCCAAACAGCAGGTGTCCTTGGCACCTTCAGAAACCCTGCTTTCTTGGGCAGTTTGACACATTCAGCCACTTCCCAAGTAGAAACCAAGGCTGTGAATGTCTGGTGGTAGCCAGAGTGGCAGGTGGTGATGGCCACCATAGAAAATGCATCCCTTGCCCTCTAAGCAAATCTGAGTTCCATGTGACCAGGAGTGTAGGGGGTGCTCAGCAGGGAACATGGACCTAGCGCTTCCCCCAATCAGGAGCCCCTTAACAAAATCAAGCCTCTTGATCAGGGCTTGCAGGGTGGAGAGGAACCTTTTGGAGCCACGTTTTCTAGGTCTCCGGATCTGCAGTTGACGGGGGCATGAGAGACAGAACGAGGAGAAGATAGAGCAGGGGTGGTGTCAGGAGAAAGGAGCTCTCCTTCCAGCTGTGCTGCTCAGTGGCCCACGTGAGCATGTGCACATCCTTCCGATGTCCTGGTGGGCTAGAGTTTAAGCTCTGTGCTTCCTTCCTCACAGAGCTGCTGGGACAGGCAAATGAGATCATGTAGGAGAGGCGTTTTCTAAAGTATAAGCTGCTGTTTGAATTGGGATGTTGTTGTAAGATGAAATAAAGGAGCCCTTTGACTATTCAGATCAAATGTTTTGTAACCCCCATAGCTCTGTTGGAGCCACTGGCTCCCCAAATGCTTACTCACCCAACAGAGCTTCAGAAAGGAGGCTAGTGGACTGTGGCAGGAAGGATCCCTCTGGGAGTCGGAGGGGCTGCTGTATTTTATGTTCCAAAGAGGCTGCCTGGGATGTGCTAATTTCATTCTTCTTCACTAAGATACCACATACTCCCTCAGCGCCTGCTGTGTGTCAGGTACATAACAGGTGCTGGGCATTTAGACCTGAAGCAGACCTGGTTCCTCCCTCAAGGCGCTCCCGGCCTGGACATGTGAACAAAAAAGCACAATCAAGCGTTAGAATAGTAGCACTGATGGAGTCAGCTTCAGTCTACAGAATAGCTTGTTGAACACTCAGAACCCCAGGGGGTAGGCACTGTTATTATCCCATTTCACAGAGAGGAAAACGGAGTTACAGAAAGACTAGGCAACTTGCTCAAAGTTGCCTGGCTGATGAATGGCAGGGCTGGATTCAGACGCAGGTGATCTGGCTCCAGAGGCCATTTTTAGCCACTGGGCTATACCATTACCACAGTATAGGGAGCATGATGAGCAATCGAATGGAGGGAAGACCAGGAAATACTGCAGAGGGTGGTGAAAAATGAGAAGGTGCGTGTCCACAGAGGAGTTGGAGGAGAGCATTTCAGGCCGGGGATGGCGTGGGCATGAAACCACCCAGTCTATTTGGGGAAGCTGCTGGTAATTAGATATGGCTGGGGTGAGGAAGCAGAGGGCCATAAGATGGGGAGAAGCCAGGAGGGGCCAGACCATGGTGGGGCCCTTGGTCTGCCAAGAGGTTTAGAATCCTCCACCTTCCTCCCCTGGGACTGCCAGTTGGCCAGCTACTCATCCCCCGCTGCTGTCTCCTGTCCAGGTCTGTGGCTCAAGACATCCCCAAGCTGCAGAAACTAGGCATCACCCATGTCCTGAATGCTGCTGAGGGCAGGTCCTTCATGCATGTCAACACCAATGCCAACTTCTACAAGGACTCCGGCATCACCTATCTGGGTATCAAGGCCAACGACACACAAGAGTTCAACCTCAGTGCCTACTTTGAACGGGCTGCAGACTTCATTGACCAGGCCTTGGCTCAAAAGAACGGTAAGGGAACTGCTGCCCAGGAACAGTGGGAGGCAGCTCTGACTGGACTTTTTCTAGAAAACAGGCCCACATCAGGCTTCCTCTTGGAGAACCTGTTGTCTCCCGTCTCCTGTGGTGAATGGCAGAGAACTTTAGGTCTCTCTTTGCTTACCTGGCTGCCTGCCTTACATAGGATGTGCAAACCTTTCACACAATGACAGCCCTGGGGTCCTCCTGTTTGATTTGACTTTGGCTGAAGGTTAATTTCCAGGCACTCCTCCCATTACCCCTGATTCAAGTAGTTGATTTTCCCTGATGCTAAGTCCTGAGGTGAAGGAGCTACAGGGCTGGGTGATTCAGCAGTGCAGTGGTGGCCTCCGGACCAGGGCCTGCCCACCCCTCTGCCACTCAAGGCTGGACACTCCCTCGGTGCCCCAAGGGAGCTGTGGCAGATCAGTCTCCACATCCCAACAGGACAAGGTACAGCAAAAGATGAGGCAGCTATCTCTTCTTCATGCCCCCTCTTTTTAAGAGCAAGTAGAACACCTCCCACCCGCAAAACCCCCCACAGGAGTTACCCTCACACCTCACCAGCTAGAGTTGGGTTACATGCATACCTGGCAAGGGGAGTGGGGCAGCCATGATTGGCATCAGCTGAGGGTCAGCAACTATGGCCCACAGGATAAATCTTCCAACCTTTTTAAATGCTTCCTGCAGCTTCCAAGCATTAAGTCCCAAGCAGAAGTGCTGAGGTGCTGACAATCAGGGAAGGCTTCCGGAGGGAAATCCTACGAGGCCAGAGGACTGACAACATCAGCTGAGCTGATGAGAAAGGCCAAGGCCACGTGCCCTTCCTGCTTGTAACCTGCGTTCTCTCAGCAGCTGCCTTTACCTCCTGCTGCTTCCCCCAGCCTCTTCCTCCCTCTCCACCCCAGACCACCCCAGGGGAATGACCCCCATGGAGGCACAGCCTGCCTCGTCTTCCTCACTCTGGCCTGTCTGTGCTACACAGGGGCTGTCCCTGCTCTGGCAGCGGATGCTCTACCGATCACCTCGCACAGGCTCAGCATGCCCAGGGCTCACAGAAGATGCTTCTTCCTGTGCCCAGCAGCCTCCCCACTGGAATGATTTCCAGTGAACAGGGTGTTCTAGATGCTGGCTATCTCATGTTCAGGGCTCAGGAGGGAAGCTTTATTGCTCTGGGAATCTGCAGACTTTCCTGTCAGGCCCTTCGTGGTTTTTCATGGTCTTGCATGTGTCATCCGCCTCCACTCCAGCTGTACCGAGCTCCTGTAGAGATGAGAATGGGGAAAGGGGATGGATTTTGCTCTTCTTGGATGTCAATTGGCTGTCCACTCAGGGAACTTAGAGCTCTCGGACTTTCTTTCCTCTTTCCATTCACCTCGGAACATAGCCTGACTTCTGTGACCTCCTGCCTTAGCCCACACGGGCTGGGTGATCAGTCTGGAAAGTTCTTTCTGCTGCTCCCTACCCTGTCCTCTGGCAAACTCCACCTTGTGCTTTAGCACTGGGCATAGTGTCCTCTTTTCCATGAAGCCTGCCCTCAGGCTTCTGCGTCCCTTGTCTGTCTTGCCAGCACCTGATGCAGCATCAGGCACACAGCAGGTACTCTGCAAATGGTTACTGAGCAAGTGACAAAAATGAGTTCTATGGGCTCTTTGCCAAGTGTAAATGCTTCTAAGATTGACTGGCCAAATGAGTCAACAGAAATGCACTGGCCATCAGTGGTGTGCAGGGCACAGGGGTTCTGGGGCCCATCACTTTGGGGAGGTGGGAGTGGCCAGGGACACTCAGAGGAGGAAGCGGTCACTTCCAGCTGGGAAGATCAAGGGAGGCCTTATCAGGGTGGTGGCATCTGGGTGAGGCCTGGAAGGATGAGAGTTGAACCCTCCCCTTCCGCACTGGCGCTGTGAGCCCTGGGCATACTGAGTCTGTGCTAGGTGATTGGCAGAGGGTCCCACGGCCAGAGCAGGGATGGGGAAAGCCCCACTCTGAATAGGTACCTCGGGCACACTGCTGGAGAGTGCATGAGCAGGGAAGCAGAGGCCTCCCCCTTCCTGTTCTGGGAGGCATTGGGAACAGAGAGTCATGTTTGGGGTAGGTGATAGGAACAGAAGTGACTCTGTTTTAACTCTGAGCCAGCAGATTTCCTTCAAAAGAATACCCCAAGAGGTGTTTGGTGGGTAATGATTCACTTGCTAGTCAAGTGGAGCACCTCATGAAAGACAGAGATTGTAGGGCATCCAAAAATCAATACCCCATCATTGTTGCACTTAAGGAGCTCATAGTCAGGCAGAAGAGGGTAAGTCTGTCTGTGCATGGCCAGCAGTCGCACGGGGCAGGGCTGCTGAAACAGAGAAGGGTCCTAGTGTTGGCTAACATTTCTTGAGTATGCACTAGCCTAAGGTTACGCATATCATTTCCTTTCATCTCCCAACCATATTATGCAGTGGGTACTATTAGCACAGATGAGAAAGTTGCAGTGCTGTGGATTAGGTGGGTCACGGAGTTAAATAATCAGTGTATTGGCTAGGGCTCTCCAGAAAAACATTGCCAGTAGAACATATATATTATTTGTTTCAAGGATTTGCTTTACATAACTGTAGGGGCTTTCATCTAAAACCGTAGACTGGCAGGCTGGAAACTCAGGACTTCTCTGAGGCAGAAATCCTTCTTCTCCAGCAAACCTCACATTTTGCTCTTAAGATCTTTAACTGATTGGATGAGGCCCACCCATATTATCAAGGGTTACCTCTTTATTTGAAGTCAACTGATGGCAAGTGTCTATCACATCTACAAAATACCTTCTAGACTAGTGTTTGACCAAGTAACTGTGCATCATAGATAAGCCAAGTAGACACACATTTAACCCTCACAGCCAGCAAGTTAAAATTTAAACCCAGATGCATATGACTTCAAAGATTTGAGTTCTAAATCCCTGTGCTGACAAAGGAAACACTTGAACTGGGGTCTTAAGGAATGAGTAGGAGTTTTCCAGGTAGCCAAGAGAGAAGTTCTTCCAGGTAGAGGGAACAATATGTGCGAAGGTACAGAGGTGAGAGAAAGCCTGGGAAGGTGTCAAGGCTGAGGGCAGTTGGCCTGGTAAGCCACACTTTGGAGACTAGACTACCCTGCAAATGGTGACAGGTTGTATTGTATTTGAGGAAGTTCCTTGCAGCTGCTGGGTGAAGTGTGGATTGGTGGTGGAGGGCACAGAGTGAGAGCTCGGTTTGGAGGGGTAGAGTGGGCAGAGGGGAGAGGTGACGCGCACTCTGGGGAGGGGCGGTGGCAGAGAGAAGCTGAGGCTTTGGCTCAGGGCATGTGAGACTCCGTTGGTGCTGCTTCTGGCGTCTCCTAACATTCCTTCCTCCCTTTACCAAATGCTGGGGCTGCCGCAGGGAGCAAGACAGACAGACATCCCTGCCCAGGTGGAGCTTACATTTCAGGGGAAGATGACAGTGAATGAGCCAAAAGGATTTGTGGCCTGTCGGGTAGGGGAGTGAAGCAGGGAGATGGGGATTGGGGAGCACAAGGAATAGGAGTGGACTGGTGTCTTTGGAAAGAGTGGGCAGGAAAGGCCTTCCTGGGAAGGTGACATTCCAGGAAACACCTGGGACAAGAGGTGTTGAAGGCTGAGGGGCTGCAGGAGTAAGGGAGGAGGGACTGGAGGAGATGACGGCAGAGGTGGGGGCCAGCCTTAGCAGGGCCATGAGAAGGTGTTTTGTTTTGAATTCTAATCTTTGTGTTTATATTTGACATACGTGTTCCTTTTATTTTTTAAACTACTTTGTTGAGGCCTAATTGTCCTGTAATACATTACACATATTTAAAGCATGCGATTTGATAAGTTTTGGCATATGTATACACTTGTGAAGCCATCACTATGGCCGAGATAAGTGAGCACGTCCGTCACCCCCCAGATTTTCCTCATGTCCCTTTGTGACCTCTCCCTTCCGTCCCTCTCAGCCTTCCATTCCGAAGCAACCACTGATCTGCCTTCTATCACTAGACATGAGTGTATGTTTTGTAAAGTTTTATGTAAATGGAATTACACGGTATGCACGGTTTTTTGGTCTGGCGTCTTTCACTCTGATTACTTTGAGCTGCCTCCCCGTCTCTGCACGTCCCAGCGGCTCATTCCTTGTTGGTGCTGCGCTGTGTTCCATCGTGTGTGATATGTCACGGCTTGTTTAGCCATTCACCTGCTAATGGACATCCGGCTTGTTTCCATGATTTGCTGTTGATCAAAATACAAAATTCACTTAGAGAAGTGTACACATCACAAGTGCCAATCAGTACACTGTGCACACCCAGCTAGCAGCCCCCAGATCAAGAAACAAAACACGACCAGCACCCCCAGCAAGCCCACCCCATGTTCCCTTCCAGCCTCAGGTCCCGGCTGCTCCCTGTTCCCACCGTCCACACTTCGAACAGCATAGAGCAGTTTGCCTGCTCTCCCACGCCGCGGGATCATACACATCCTATTTGTGTGTGTTTCGTCCATGTTGTTCTGGTAAATTGTAGATTGTTCATTCTTATTATTTATCCACTCTACCACTCATGGGCCTTTGGGAGTTTCCAGCTTGCTGCTATTATGAATAGTGCTTCCTATGAACATTCTGGTATGTGACTTTTGGTGAACATGTGTGCACACTCCTGCCCAGCATGGATCTGGGGTGGAATTGCTGGGCCACAAGGGATGCATGTATTCAGCATGAGTAGATACTGCCACACAGTTTTCCAAAGTGGTGTGCCAATTTCCACCCCCTCCCAGCCACATGTTAAAGCCCCAGCTGTTTTACATCCTTCCAGAGGCTTTGTGTTTTCCATCTTTTTCATTTTCGCCATTCTGGTGAATATGCCATGGTCTCGAGCTGTAATTTCTATTTGCATTTCCTGGCAGAGTTTTGACTAGAGCTGTGGCGTGGCTGGATGGCCTCTGCTCACATGTCCCCCTGTCTTACAGGCCGAGTGATTGTCCACTGCCGTGAAGGTTACAGCCGCTCCCCAACGCTCGTTATCGCGTACCTCATGTTGCGTCAGAATCTGGACGTCAAGTCTGCCCTGAGCATCGTTAGGCAGAACCGTGAGATTGGCCCCAATGATGGTTTCCTGGCCCAACTCTGCCAGCTCAACGACAGACTAGTCAAGGAGGGGAAATTGAAACTCTAGGGCACCCCCACTGCCTCTTCTCTAGAGGTCGGACTGGGGAGGCCCTGGTTAAGGCTTCCCAAGCTGCCATGTTTAGGAAACACAGTGTACCCTGCTCCCAGCATCACCAGGCACTTGCCCACAAGTCTGTCCCAACACAGCCCTGGGCCACTCTCCCCCTGGAGGGTGTATAAAGAAGCTTGCTGAGGAGGGTGTGCTTGCTCCCTGGCGTGTCCTGTGCCTGCAGTTTATGCTGCCGTCTCCCTGAGGTTGGGGGGGGTGCAGAGGAGACAGCCTGTGACGTATGCTTCTCCCAGATGACCCAGGGTGGAAGGTCTGTGGAAACATAAGGCTCGAGACCGCCACAGGGGCCCCTCCTGACTTCCCCTAGCCCTACCCCACTGCAGAGTCCCCTCCGGATTGGGGACCGCAGCACCTTGAGCCTCCTAAGGGAACTATGCAAACGCAGGCCCCTCTCCCACCACCTCTGTCTCACTGTCCCCTCACAGCCATCCACACCCAGCTCCTCAGCAGAGGCACCTCAGGAGGTCTGAAGCTGGTTGGGGTGGCCAGCAGTGGTTAGTGGATGCAAATTGCCATGAAGAGACTGCATTTGAATTATTTCCTTAGGATTGAACGTACATAAACAAAGAGGCCTTGGGTAGGCAAACAAATTCCTGTGAACTCTCCTAAGTCAATAGTTTTTTAGATGCCCGTCTGTGGAAGGCTTGAGTTCAGAATCCACTGCTTTGGAATATTCCCCTCGGATTGCTCTCAGTTTGTTAGAGCGCTGCCTTGGGCATGGTTTTATTTTTCTTTTTTAGAAAACAGGGTGTTGAAGTCCATCCTATTTAAAAACCCCACCATTTGGAGAATTACAAGGGTTTTGTCCTGAATTATAGAGTTGGTGAACCCAAGCCACTCGTGCTAACTGCTTTTTGTCTCGGTTGCTATTCCAAGAACAGAAAGAGGAAGTTGGCCAATTACAGCATGTGTGGAGGGGTGGGGATGGGGGGTGTGTGTGTATCTCAGAAACACAGCCAGAGGACGGACAAGCAGAGAGATGAAAGGTCCCAGGCTCTCACCCTGCCCACTTATAGGTAGTTCTCACAGCTCTCTGGTGCCAGAAAAAACCCTGGAGCCTTGGGAGCAAAAATGACTCAGCCAGGCAGAAGTGAAATGTGGTGCAGCACCCAAATAGAGCCTTTACTGGTGGGAGAGCAAACAAACAAAAAAAAACACCTTTTTTTAGGATTTTTTTAGGATGATGTCAGAAGGCACTAGTACTCAATTCACGTGTATGCACACATTTGTCAGAATATAGTTTTGTTTTGAACAGTCTTGTCAGAACTTTGCATGATTATCACCATGGAAAGTGCTGCAATGCCGCCGTCTTCAGGTTCCGTCTCAGCTGTCCCCCAAGTGCCTAGCGTGCCGGGCTCAGATAAAACTTCATGCAATTACATTTTTCTGAGCACCAAATATATGCAAGGCATTGTTCTGGTGGGTGTCTCAAGCTCCCAGGAGCCTGAATTTGTGGTAGGATCGCTTGCAAGGATTTGCAGAGGAGTCTTACCTGAAGCAAAGTATCAGGGATTTTTGTTGACTATTTGAAATTCAGTTTTAAATTTAAATTCAGGCAGTGTTAACATGTTGTGGCGAATGTGCCTTTTTCAGAGCAACCAGGAGCTTGTGGCTAGGACAAGGAGAGGCAGGTGAGCCTCAGAGCCTCCCTCACAGGCGCAGCAGGAGCAGCGTTGTGCAGCCCTGGCGTCCCTTTTTCTCTGTGACCACAGCAGCCCTGAACCCACTGCGATCTGTCTTTGTTACACGTACCTGGCTGCCCAGGTAGACCCACTGAAGTGAAATGGCCCTCCTCTGTAAACTCTGCTCCTCCCTTCGCTGCTTTCTTTCCAGTGACTGTCCCACTTCATCTACCTTGGTCCTCACAGTGACCCTATCAGGTTGGGAGAGCTTGCTCATGTATTGCTATCTTTAAAAAAAAAAAGGAACTGGGCTTCCGAGTGATAAAGAGTCTCCTGGTCCTAAGGCAGAGCTGTGGCAAGATTTCAGGTTTGCTGCTCCACGAAGCTGAATTCTTTCTTTCAAACTATACTCCTTTGAGAGAGAGGAGCCCCCTGTGAGTGTCCAGGTGGGCTGCGCATAGCCTTGACCTGGCCATGTGCACAAGAGACAGTTAGCTTTGTGGACAGAGTGCAGTGATTCAAGCTGTGGTGCCAGGGGGTGTCTAGGTAAGGGTGGGAGGGAGTTGGCATGAACCCATCCCTGCTCCAAGAAAAGGAAGTATAGCATGTGGGTCCCTGACTGGGTTAGTATGTGTGGGTCTTCTTCCAGGAAACCAGCATCCCTAAGCTGGAGCTTTGTGCTCTGCTTCCGGAGGAGGCTCAGGAGCTGGGGCTGAGGCTCCTCTCCTACACCCAGGCAGGGGTCACCCTGCAGGACAGCCACGGCCTAGGCTAGTGAACTAGGACCTCTTGAGGGCTTCTCTATGGGGGCATGAGGGAGAAAAGGCCATTGGGACAATTACTGCCTTTACTTTGGGGCTACTTTTATGCTAATAACTTGGGATATCTTGACAGTCTTTAGTCCCAGAAACCCCATATTTACTTCATGAGATTTAGCTCTTAGTTTTTTGAGTAAAATAAAATCAAATTTTATTGTGTAAGAGCCAACACATGCCCAGCTGTGAGCAGAAGCTGTTTCTGGATAGCTTTCTATCCCTGGGAAGTGTTGGAATAGGAACTCAGGGTTCCCTTACTGCCTCCCCAGACCTGATCCCTTTTTTCGACTAGCAGACCCCCATCTAGGCCAGATTAGAGCACCAAACAGTTTTGTTCTCAATTCTAAAGCACTACACCTCCCACATGCTGGTCTCTTTCCCTGCCACTCTGACTTATCTGGAGAGCAGACATCTCCATCTGTCAAACAAGATGACTCATCTAGAGGACCTCTGAGGTTCGGACACTACGGTGGGTTCCCTACGAGGGCCCACTTGGAATTTACCACCACCTGGAAATTATGGGGTGTGAAATGACATGATGACCAGCAGGTGGCGCTGTGTTCCACCCGTGGTGATGGATGGTTTGAAAAGGATGTCGGTGCCTTTTGTGTCACAAGTTAATGTTAAGATGCTAATGTTTAATCAAAATAAGCACTGATCTGATAATATGAAGATATGAGCTTTCCCCACAGGAAATTTTCTGTCATAAACTGGTGTCAAGAATCACTGAAGAGTCAACAATGATGGTCCTTCCAAGTCAAGATTTTATCCTGATTGGAAACGGGCCATCTCTGGTTGAGAATAGATTGGACGGGCCATCTCTGGTTGAGAATAGATTGGTTGGAAGCTTATCTTACCTTCTGTCAACTTTTAGGGTAATGTGACTGTGAAAGTGTGAATTTTCTGGACAGGAAAGGGGAAATTATTAAATTGGTTTTTTTAAAAAGTAAGGTTATTAACATCTGTTCTATCACAAATCAGTGTTAAAATGCTAAAACTAACCAAAATAAATGTCTTACCTTACAAAGAAATGGTCTCTCTTGTTCTGACCACAGTTGATTTTCTTTTATGCTTAGCTTTGGTGTTTACTGTTTCTAACTTTAAAAAATTATCCTCTAAAAATTAGCCCTTCTGAGCTATTAGAGGTTCCATGATGATTATACTTATGCAGTGAATGTACCTTGGTAGAAATGATCTTTTTTTTTAGTTAGCATTTTCAAATGTCAATTTTATTAAGGCATAACTGGCTGGAATAGTCTTGAGTAGGGAGGCCCACCCCAAATGAGAGAGGTAAAATTTATGTTTCTAAGAAAGCAGAGGACCTGGGGTTACAGTCTCAGAATGGCCTCACATGAGGATGACTGGGTAGCATGTTAGGGTGTGAGTGATCCTACTAACAGGCAGTCCCCAAACATATCCCTGCCTCAGTGCCACCACTAGCATTATCTCCCTATGACAGCATTGCCCTTTTTCCTGAGTAAAAAACTCAGTTAGCTGCCTTTTTGCCAAGACAGGAAAGGCCTCTAGTCTCCTGTTCCCCAGAGCATGAGGCCATAGACTAACTCATTATTTGTCAGACCTCTTTGGCAAAATAATCTCTATACTTTTACACAAAATCTTAATGTGGATCCCTAATATGTAAAACTGGTGAAAGTGGTTTTTCAGTATACTTTTAAAAACACTTTCATTTAAAGGTAATAATGTATATACATAGTAATAAATCCAAATACTACAAAAGACTTAAAAGAAAAGTGTCTCCTTACTCCAAACCTTCAATCTTTCTCCTCAGAGGAAGTCTGGAAAAATCCCATGCATATTTAAGCACACACATATATACACATGTGAGTATAGGGAAATATCCTTTCCCCCCAAAATGGAAAATATTATGCACTTTGCTTTTTTTGCTTAACAATATAGTTTACCCATGTTTCTTAGAGTCCCATTTATTTTAATGGCACTTGTATGGGTGACTGTGATTGCTCTATGCCCTTATTTTAAATGTCCAGGCTGCTTTAATGAGTACAGTACATTGAGATGAGATTGAATGAAAATTGCTGTGTTTCTTCTGCTTTGTATCCTGTTCATTTCTGTCATCTGTTGTGGTGGCCTAGTGTCCAGCATACCCCAATACTCAGAGCTTAGGAGGGGTGTCCTCTACTTGCTTTTGTCATTTTATGGGAGTGGACATACCCCAAGCCTAATTTTAAAAAGACAGTCTCTGAACTGTGGCCTTCTGAATTGCTGACCCATTTAGAAGTTCACATATACAGAGATTCAAGTTCTGAAGTCTACACTAAAATGAGTTCATCTGGAGGTGATGCTGTGAATGGTTATCTCCATTTCATTTAAAAGTGGTGTTATTATATTTTTAAATAATTAAAATGTGCATGTTTTTAAAACCATGAGACATCTCTGTGGAAATCTGAGGTTCTGAGAAACCTAATTCAAAAGCCTGTAAACTAGACCTTCCCAGTTAAGGTTCCCATCGTGTAGAGCACTTGAGGGAGCCAGCCGGAGGGCGGGGGGTGTCGAAAAGGGGGCTAGAGAGTGGAGGCCAGGTGCAGCGTGGTTCTGAAGCACACCGGCTGACAAAGAGCCTCTCTCTGGCCCGACTTTACTCAGTTGCCTCTGAATTGTTTTCCAAGGAGGCCCCGGCTTTTGGCCTTTTGGGTTTATCTCCATAGTGTCCAGTTTTAGCGAGAATCCTGCTAGGTTGGTTTAGCCAGAAACCCCCATCCTCTACATCTGATCACCTCAATATCTAATTGAGCTCCTCACCTGCACGCCCCCCCACCCAGGTGAAGTCTGATCACCCCAGCCTGTCTCTCAGCAAGAATCCTATTACGGCAGTTTAGCCAGAATCCTCCTCACCCCTCACCACTGATGTTCCCTCGTAAGCAATTTCCATCCCCTGCTCCTTGGCTATAAATCCCCGCTTCTTCTTGGTGTATTCAGAGTCAAACCCAATGTCTTCCCTCACAACAAGACCCCAGTGCAGTGGTCCCTGCATCTATCACCAAGTACCTGCTTGAGTTAAGTCATCTTTATCATTTTTAAAGAGGGTCGCGAATAATTTTTTCTTCAAGATTTTGCAGGCAGAGGCCCTCCAGGCAGAGGGTGGCAGTTTGGAGGGCACTTGGGGTGGTTCTGGGTGTGCAGGCAAAAGGAAGCTGAGGTTTCATCCTGTTCCAGCTGCGGGAGCCATTAACCTGCTCTGAGCAGGAGGGTATGATGAAGCTTTTTTGGCTCCTCTTAACCCTCGTCCCTCAGAAGCTGCTGATGAACAAGTAGATTTCCACCTGCGCGGAGACCCTGCGCCCTCCAGAGCATGAGTTCTCAGCTGTGAATAAAGAGGGAAATTTGGATATTGCCAATGCAGGCAACTGCCTATAAGCAGAGATGGCTCTCCAAACCTGGATATTCCGTCTTTACCACTGCCTGTGCGGGATGTAAAAATCCCTTTAAAAATACAGCCAATAAGGATATTGTTTCTGGGTATTACAGATGGATGGCTTGAGAACCAAGCAGGAAGTGACATTAGATGACCTTTGAGGTTCCTTTCAGATCAAAAGATTCTGTGATCCTGACTCACAGGAGCGTAACTTCCTTTCCAAATCGGGCCTGTCCCTCAGAGTCAGGTCCAAATGCCACGTGGTTCTCTGAAGCTCCCAGATCCACCCGCGGGGAGAGAGTATTCTCTCCTCTGAAGGCCCATAAACACTTTGTTACTTCTTTATAAAACATCTGACTCTGTTCTTTGCGGCACCAATTACTTCCTACCGAGTTGTTTGGGTGAAGAGCTTATTTCTTCCCTGGGATGGGAGTTCCTGGAGGGGGAGCCCGGGTCAGTTCACAGCACCTGTCAAGAGGTCTTGCTTTGTTAAATGTTTGGCAAGTGGACATAGAGACAAGCAGCTTGGTAGAAACAAAACCAATAACTCATCACATAGAAAAACAGCCTTGCTAGAAATTTACATACAGCTATTAAATTATTAAATTCAACTAAAAAAGTTTAGCAGCCTAAACCCAGCATTTGCAGCCTCGTGCAGAACCAGACTATTATGACTTGAACTGTATCCCTCCAGAATTAATATGTTGAATCCCGACCCCTCATACCTCAGAAGACTGAGGAAGTATGGTCGTTGCAGATGTAAGTAGGTAAGATGAGGTCTTAGGGTGGGTCCTTATTTCATGTAATTGATATTCTCATAAAAAGGGGTTATTAGGATAGACACACATATAGGGAGAGCACTATATGGAGATGAAGGCAGAGGATCAGAGTGAAGCTTCTGCAAACCAAGGAATGCCAAAAATTGCTGGCAAGGTGCCAGAAGCTGGGTGGCATGGAACTCTTCCTCCCAACCCTCTGAGGCAGCCAGCTCTGCCAACACACTGGGCTCAGAGTTCCAGCCTCCAGAACTGAGACCATACATTTTATTGTTTAAGCCACCCAGTCTGGTGCTGTGTTTCAGGAGCCCTAGCAAGCTACTGCGCATGCCTACTTCTACGTTTCTGGTAGGACTGGGGACTTGGCTGGGCTTTCTGGAGAACAACGGCAATAAGTAGCAAATGGTTCACCCTCTCAGACCCAGTATTGACTTCTTGAAATAACCCTAAAGCTGAAAAAAAAATTACTTTGTGGACTTCTACTGCAGTAAAAAGAAACAAATTGTTGATACATAAAAAGACTTGGATGAATCTCCAGGGAAGTAGGTGGAGTGAAAAAAGCTAATTTTAAAGGTTACATACTGAAGTGGGGGTGAGGAGGATTCCATTTATATACCATTTTTGAAGTGATAAAATAATAGAAATGGAGACCAGATTAGTGGTACCATGGGGTTGAGGGGGAAGCAGGAAGGCTTGGGAGGACAGTGAGCATGTTACACAAGGGTAATGAGGGATCTTTGTGGTCACAGTTATCTTGGCTGTGATGGCCGATACATGAACCTAGGTAAAGTTGCATGGAACTAAACACACACACACACATGCACATGGACACATACAAGTGAGTAAAACTGGGGAAATCTGATTAAGACTGGTAGAGGATAATAATGTCAATACTCAGGTTATGACATTGCACTATAGTTTTGCAACCATTGAAAGAAACTGGATAAAGGGTACATGGAATTTTCTCTATTATTTCTTACAAGTGCACATGAATTTACAATGATCTCAAAATAAAAAGTTTAATTTGAAAAATGACTTTGTACAAGGATGTTCATAGCATCCCTCCTGAGGATAGAGTGTCGGAGAATAATCTAACGTACCCACAATCAAAGTCAGCTAAAACCCTGGGGGGTCAACTCTGGGGGTATGGTTTAGCTCTAAACAATGACAAACTTGTGGATGAGTGCATATAAAGCTGAATTTTAGTAAAGTGAAGAAGCAGATGGCATCATAGCAGGTTCTCTTTGAGCCATTCTGTGAAAAGCATGCTAGACATTGGCAGAAAATAACTCAAAAGGATGGAAATAATTTAGAGGTTAAATTCCCCTAGATTCTTCTCTCTTTTTTATTTTTTAGCATTACTTCAGTTTCAAAAAATAGTGAAATGAAGTCTTGAGCCTTGCTGACCTTGGGGCCCTGGCTCTTCCCCTGTGTCCAGCAGGTGGCAGAAGTGTTCCAAGGATGGTTCCCACCGCGTGGGTCTGTGAATGGGCCCGCAGCTGCCAACAGGAGGCGGTGCTCCAGCATCAATGGTGCCCACTGAAGGAATCCAGGTCTCAGCACTACCCTCTCCGAAGTCCAGGGCAAGAAAACAGTTGTCCAGCCACAGCAGGGTTAACAGTCTACATTCCAGAGCAAGAGAAAGGGAGGTTGAAGGGTCACAGACGTGGGGAGGGGGCGCAGAGGGCCAGCTTCCCACAACACCCACTGGCTCTGCTGGGAGAGATAGATCACCCCCAACAATGGCCACAGCTGTTTTCGTCTGCCCCAAAGGAAGCTGACTTAGGAAGCAGGTATCAGAGAGGGCCCTTCCTGCAGGGGCTTCTGTCTGGCTTGTAAAACTGTCAGAGCAGCTGCATTCATGTGTCAAGTGATGGATGATGGAAAAGAAGGAGCTACAGACGGCTGCAGATGGACACAGCAACTTACAAGTTGAGGCAGGTGGCAAAGGCCTCACAGAGGCTCTGCAGGTGGGGCATGCTGATTCATTGCTCCGTGAAAATACCAAGGGGACCTGGGCCACAGCCCTCTTCAGGGCCAGGAGCAGGTGGGCCTCTTCAAACAATCCATCTGCAGCAAAAGTTTCTGCTGGCTCTCCTTTCTTTGCCTACACCTCAGGTGTGAATATTCTCCCCAGTGCTCCTCCCCACCACCCCAGATCCCTTGTTCAACTCCAGGGCTGAGAAAGCGGTTCCTTGGTTTTTGTGCGGTTAGCTGGACCTGGGATGGCTTCATGGAACTCACTCCGTGGTATGCACCAATAAGAGCTTCCACATAGGACTCAAAGCTGTTTTGAAAAATGTAATGGGCTGGAAGACAAGAAAAAAAAAGTCAGAACTAAAAATGCTGGCCTTGGCTTTTGCAAAGAAAAGGGATCTTGTGCTCTCCACTCCTACCCACAGCCTGGCCAGGGAAATAACTGCATTTGGCATATGAGCCTGCAAGCCGCAGCAAGTGTCATGGCCAAGAAGTGCCCGTCACCATGCGCAGGTCCCCCGAGGAGCAGGTGCTGAGGTTTCCTCCTTGTTCTCCATCACCAGAGCCTGTTGGCTTGCTGATCTGGGCCTTGTAACCAGAATCCCTGCCGCCTTGCCAAGGCAGATGCCCTCGCTGTGGCCCTAGAGTTTTCCCTCTTGCCTTCCAGAGAGTGTCAAGAGGGGCTTGTTTCAGAGTAATCATTGCGGAGCCTCATAGAGTTGGGACCAGTGAGACTTCTTAAAAAGCATCCTTCCGCCTCTGCGTGGGTCTGTGGGGGCCAAATACACACCCCTAGGGCCATTTGTTGGTGAGATCACAAATGCACTTGGCCTGAGAAATGGGATCAGCTGGGCTCAGGCCTGTGGAGGCCTCAGAGCTGCTGTTTTCTTTGTTAAACTGGTCCAAAGTTTGTTTTGAGAAAGCCTAAGGGGCCCAAGGAGGTAAAGATTAAGAGCTGGAGCTCATTTCCATATCTGAAAACCACAGCCGCCTGCACGTGGGAGGTGCTGGAGAGCAGCCTTGGCGCACACGCCCCCTCTCTCTGGGTCACCTGGGAGCACCGACAGCAATTTGGGAGTTAGCTGCACTTGAGAAGCAATTTGGGAGTTAGCTGCACTTGGGAAGTCTTCTTCAGAGAGGGCTTGCTCTGAGCACACCCCGTTCCCTCCCCCTGGGCTGAGGGAAGCATGCGATCAGCCCTGCCCCAGCCTGTCCTCATTGGCTGGCATGAAGCAGAGGGGGCTTTAAAAAGGCAAATGTGTCCAGGCTGGGGACTGGAGCCTGTGCTACTCAAGGCTGGGTGCCCTCCTCCAGCTGGCACCATGCAGCTTTCCCTTGCCTTGTGTCTCGTCTGCCTGCTGGTACATGCAGCCTTCTGTGTGGTGGAGGGCCAGGGATGGCAGGCCTTCAAGAATGATGCCACGGAAATCATCCCTGAGCTGAGCGAGTACCCGGAGCCTCTGCCAGAGCTGGAGAACAACAAGACCATGAACCGAGCAGAGAATGGAGGGAGGCCTCCTCACCACCCTTTTGAAACCAAAGGTATTGGGGTGGAGGAGAGTGTTTTTATCACAAGGCTCCAGGGAGGGTTCCGTTCCGGAGGTCTTGAAGACTGGGGTAGACTGTCAGCTGCTGCCAGAGACAGAGGAAGGACAGCATGCTGTGTAGCCTCGGAATTTGGGTGCAGGGGCATGAAGCTGGCAGGGGGCTGCAGTGAGAGCCCAGGGCAGGAAGGAGGCTGAGGTGGGGAGGGTGCAGCTTTGGGGCAGGCAGGTTCAGGAGCTCTGAAAGGACAAGGTTTCAAAGAATCCCCCCTCCTGGGAATACAGGAGCCAGGTCCAACTGCTGGAACCACGTGGAGGGGACAAGGCAAGGGAGCCTCCCATCTGTGAGCACCTGCTGGATGCACGCACTGCACGCAGGCTCTGCCCAGGGACCCACTATGTGGGGTCCCAGGAGTTTAACTCCCAGTTTGAAGGTGAAGAAACTTTTAGTCCAGAGATTAAGAAACTTGGTAGTAAATAGAAGAGCTAAGATTTGAACCCAGTTGGACCCATTCCAAGACTGCACTGCTGGGGGACTGTGTGTGGGGTGTTGGGGACAGAGCTGAGGCAAAGCAGTGGGAAAGGGACACCAGAGAGGCATTCCTTCAGCTCCCCCGCCCATACTCTGCCCAGTGGGCTGGTGCTTGAAGGAATGGGAATTGTAGGCACAGCTTTGGCCTCTGTCCTGGGCACCAGCTGGGTCCATGCCCAGAGGAGAGGCAGCATCCTCTGTGCAGGGAGTGGACACAGGTGGCACCTGGGAGGTCCTGCAACCCCCAGAAGCAGCCTTGCCTCATTCCCGGAGAGGGAGCCTGGCCCTAGTGAGAAGGCACTGGACCCAGTGGAGGCACACCTGGGTTCCTCGTCAGGTCAGCAAAGAGAAACCTGGGGGGCAAAGTGCACAGCTGGCTCAGCAGCTGGGAGGAATGGCTGGAGGCCGGGGCAGAAATGATGCGTCAGGGTGACAGCCATGCTGCCCTCTGGGCTTGTCCAGGTGGGAGAGGAGTCCACTGCCCGGGTTCCCTCATCTTGTCCCTCCCTGCCTCACCACCAGCTGGGAATATGGGGCTCTGCAAGGGTCACCCCCAGAGGGGGCCAGCAGGGCCTTGGGTCTTCAACCACAGGAGGGCAAGAGCTCCCCCCCCCCACAGCAAGTAAAATCAACTAAGTTCAAGGAACTTCTGGCTGGGCTGCAGGGCACCCAAGTACAAGACGTCTACCTGCTTGGGCTCCCATTTGAGGCCACAGGCCTCAAGGAAGCCACATGCTCAAGCCAAAGTTCCCTCTGCACAGGAAGTGCCTGACCTAGGGGCACTATTCTTGGAAAGCTCCAAATGCCTCCCTCCCTGGGCAAACAGGCCGCCCCCACACACCTGCCCTGCAGCCTGGGATCAGGGGTGAGGATGCCAGACCAGCCTAGAACTCAGAAGTTGAGCCAGGGGAGGAGGAGAGCAAACCCTACATCTCCCCTGCTATGCTTGTTCTCCAGGCCCTGGGGGGTGGGGTGGGGGCGTGGTCTTCTCTGTCTCCTCTCTGGTTTTGGTCTTGGTACTATTTTTCATCCCTTTGTATCACATGGGAACTGTCCCCATGAGAACCCTGTGGATGGTGGACAGGAGCTCATATAAGGACCAGCTATTTATAAAGCTCCCACCTATTCCAGCTGTTTAAAAAGAGCCCACAGAAGAAGACTTGATAAAGGCGTCTTCAGAGGATAAGGCCAGGTCTCAGGACCCAGTCCCCGCTAGGCCAGGGAGCAAGCCTGAGCCATAATCTTGTGTGCATTCAAATGGCACAGAACAAGAGATGTGCCCAGCAGAGTGCCTGGTACATAGGTGCCTAGTAAATTTTGTGGCCACTTAACAGATTTGCAGTCATAGCTTGGTCCTCTCTGGTAAGGAAGTAACTGTAGTAAAGAGCAGCTCTTTGTCCCCACCCCCAGCCCAGCCTCCCACTGGGTGCAGGGACACACAGCTTCCACCCTTGTGGGAGTCCAGATGTGCTGGGGCCCCAGGGAAGTAGATTCAGAAGACCCAGCTCTCCCTTCGGGTGAGTGCTTTTTCCTCTCTGGGCCTCAGTGTCCTCAGTGATAATGAGTGGGTTGAACCAGCTGCCTTTGGCTCCTTTCAAGTCTAATGACTTCTCTCCACCTCCCCTTCCATGTCTCTCCTTCCAAGGGGCTGCCCTGATTTATTACCTTCAATTAACCCCTACTCCTTTCTCCATCCCCTCATCACCCCTCCCAAGTGGGTGGTAAAGGAATTTGGCAGAAGCAGCCGTGAAGAGGGTGTGGCTAGGACCTACCCTATCCAGGCCAGGCATCCTGGGGCACACATGTGACTTAAGCCTGGAAAAAAGGGCCCTCTTGGAGAGAAATACTGATGGCAGCCAACACTTAAGCTCTTATTTTGTGCCGCGTGGTGTTCCCCTGTATTATGTATACAGTAGATTAACTCAGTGAATCCTGGAAGAACTCATTTTTCAGGTAGGAAGCACGGAGAGCTTAAGTAATTTGCCCAAGATCGCGGTGAAGCAGTACAAGATTTGAACTGCAGCAGACGCTTGGCTCCAAAGTTTTATGGGGAGAGGGTGGGTGGGAATCTTTTTAGTTGCTCTAAAGTAGCCTGAGCCCTTCCCATAATCGATGCCCTGAGGCAAAAGCCTCTGGAGAGACACAGGTTTGGAAAAGGCGGGTGGCGTCGGGGGTGTGGGGGGAGCCGAACCGGCCGCCGCCCTCACGCGCGCCTCTCTTCGCAGACGTGTCCGAGTACAGCTGCCGCGAGCTGCACTTCACCCGCTACGTGACCGACGGGCAGTGCCGCAGCGCCAAGCCGGTCACCGAGCTAGTGTGCTCAGGCCAGTGCGGCCCGGCGCGCCTGCTACCCAACGCCATCAGCCGCGGCAAGTGGTGGCGCCCGAGCGGGCCCGACTTCCGCTGCATCCCCGACCGTTACCGCGCGCAGCGAGTGCAGCTGCTGTGCCCAGGCGCGGCGCCGCGTGCGCGCAAGGTGCGCTTGGTGGCCTCGTGCAAGTGCAAACGCCTCACCCGCTCCCACAACCAGTCTGAGCTCAAGGACTTTGGGCCCGAGGGCACACGGCCGCAGAAGGGCCGGAAGCCGCGGCCCCGCGCCCGGGGCGCCAAAGCCAACCAGGCAGAGCTAGAGAACGCCTATTAGAGTCTGCCCGGAGGTTGCCCCCGACCGGGCGCTCCAGGTTTCCGTCCCCCGCGCGCGGTTTGATTGTTTGTATTTCATTTTAAATGCCTGCATCCCAGGGCAGTGGGCCGAGACCTTCCGGCCTTGGCAGAAGGTAGCCAGGCCCTGTAGATATGGGCGCCAGCCATGCCCTCTTCTCCCCGCCCTCTGAGCGGGTCCGCAGGACAGGGGAGTCACAGACACTGAGCCACGCAGCCCCACCCACCGGGGCTGCCTACCTTTGCTGGTCCCACTTCAGCAGAAGAGGCAGAAAAGGAGGCATTTCTCTGCCCAGGGGTTTTAAGGGAACAGTGGGAAATGAGAAAAGTCCGGGGACTGGTTAAGAATGGTCGATAAGATTCCCCTTCCTAAAGGCCAGTCCTAAAAGCCTTTAAGTGCCTGTGCCAAGAATGCAGGACTGGGGTCTGTAGATAGAGTTTCTAGTTCCTGCTCTGCCACTAACTTGCTGGGTGATCTTGGACCACACTCTTTTTCTGAACCTTGATTTCCTCTTTGTAAAATGGAAGTGGGGGTGGGATTAAGATCTGGGGGAATCTACTGTCATATCCCAAGGATTCGGGTGTGCTTTGAATAGAGAGAGGTTGGATGGACTCACTGCCATGGTGGCTTCCAGAATTCAGAGTTGTAATCCTCTGATCTGACAGCCAAAGATGAAAAACAAGCAGGAGAAAAGAAGAGTCTGTTTCTGGCTGACAGACTCCTGGAAGAAGCTGTGTTGTTTTCCAGCCTGCCTTGCCCAGATGTCATTGGCTACCTCCACCTCTCTATCTCAAAGGATATAAAAACAATAGCATTAGTTGGAGTAGAGAAAGGCAAGGTCCCCAAGGGTGGATGGAGAGACAGAACCTCCCCCTGCCCATTTCAAAGAGCAGCAACCTCCTTCCCCTATGGCCAAATTTTAAAGTCATCTTCTGCAGAGTAAGGCAAGGTCCCAGGACACTGGGCTTGCAGGTCAAGGGAGCAGCCATCACGCCCGTTCAAAGACCAGCAGATCTCTTCCAAGGCACCTCCTCCTGCCTACCACTCACGGACATACTTCTGTCTATATAATAGCTTCTTACTGCTGTTATGTGTGATGGTGTATCTTACATTAAAACAGTATTACTGGGTTAAAAATTACAAGTGCTGTACATATGCTGAGAAACCTCAAAGCCTAATAGCTACCATCCAGAAATCTGTTTGAAAGTCATCTCCGGACACCTCTTACTTTCTGTGTAGTTTTAATCGTTAAAAAAAAAAAACAAAAATCACCTTTTTTTTTTTTTTTTTTNTTAAGTTGCATATTTATTTTCCCACTTAAGTTATTTATGCAAAAGTTTTTCTTGTATTAAACAATGTTAATATTGCTTTATGAAATACCAGTCTGTTCTTTCAGAACCCAGAGGCATTGTTAATAAAGACAATGAATCGTTACCAAGAGGATGTGGTCTCATTTTGTCAACCACACACTGTCATTTCTGCCAGTTATCATCCCTCTGTTAGTCACTAGGGATTCAACCTTGGAGGCACCTTTGTGCTATGGTGACCCTTGTGGCAATTATGTCCTTTGAAAAGTCATGTCCATCCCTTCTTTTCGAAACCTAGACCTCATTCCTTCACCCTCAACAACTTCAGCCTGGTCTCCCTTAAGCAGCCTGCCCTCCACGCTATCTTCCTTAAACTCTCCTCATACCACTGCTCAAAATCCTTCACTAGCTCCTCCTTGCCCAGGATTAAGTGCCAGCTTCTCAGACTGACTTGTCAGGCCCTCCCCTGCTTGGTGCCCATCCCCCTCTGTACCAAGCCTCCTCATGGGCCACACGCTGCTGTACTTTTCCCTGCTGTCTTAGTTTGCCACCCCCCACTGACCACCCCAACAGCTCCCATGCTTTCTTCAGGGTCCATGTTCCTTGTCACCTCTTCCCAGAACCTTCCAGAGATGTTCCAATCCCTGTTGATCCCTCTCTCCTCAGATATTCCGCGCCTTTCGTCCAAGCCGGGAGTTTGGCTGCAGATTCTGTCTTCCCTTTGGCATTCCTTCATGGATTACCCATCTCACCTGGCCAAGCCCTGCTTAACACTGGGATAGACACAAAGCCAAGTACAATTCAGGACCAGCTCGCAGGGAGTTCAGTAGAGCTTGTTTCCAAACATAAATTTTATGGTGGGAATGTAAGATCTTCACAAGCAGGGGCAATGTCTTGCACTTCTCTCAAAGTCTTGCCTCACCATGGTGCTGGACACTAGCTGAGACCCAAGAAATCCTCCTCGGTTGCCATAAGGAAGGATGATCAACTGTAAAGCTTTGAACCAAGTCCACCCCATCTAGGGGTAACTCTGCCCCAAGAACCCTCTCACCTGGTAAAGTAAGCCGAGATTCTCCCCGACAGCTTTTTATTTTAACTCCCAGTGAACCTTCCTAAATTTGTAATCCACAAATCTGTCGTAGGTGTCATGGATGTTGCTGTCTCCATTGAGGGGAACTCAGCGCAACCCTGTAGGCATCCATGAGGACATGGGCTCTAGAGCCAGGTTTGTGTTTGAATCTTAGGAAACTGAGGCACCAAGAGGTTAATTGTTTGTCCACAGCCAGATGTGGGCAATCTCTGCCCTGAAACTCATTCAGGTTACTAGAGTCTGGTGGGCACATGGGCAAATAATCAGGTCACATCGTTCTGCACAACGTGTTATGGGACCAAAAACAGAAGTAATTTGCTCTGTGGCAGAGACAAGGGATAAAGTTTAAGGAAAGCTTCACAGAGGCACTGCTTAGAAGTCTGCAGGTGGAGGAGATGACACAGCATTCAAGGCAGAGGGCGCAGCCCATGCAAAGGCCCTGAGGCTGAAGGTGCCTGGCTGTTCGTGGCAGGATGAGACCTGATCCACCACCACTCAATATTCCCAGTCCTCACCATCTGCCAGACCACATAGTGGAACTGGGAATTCCAAGTTAATGCCCAACTCCAGATACACCTAGATCTGCTTTCTGGGAGATCCAGGAGGGATCAGCCTGGGCTACAATCCTATTACCACAAGGGGAAAAAAACCCCAAAGCCTAAATTGTAGGTCAGGCTAGGGGTTATTTATAGAAAGTTATATTCTACCTACATGGGGTCTATGAGCCTGGCGCCATCAGACATGGAACAGACAGCAGGCTTAGCTGGGTGGGGTGGCGCTCTGCTGCCCGAGCCCATGTTCTCATGGTACAGTCAGGCGTGGGGCTTGTATTAATAGTCTGAGAGTCGGACAGAGGGACACACACACACACACTCCATGGGACTCAACCTATCCTCTAAGTACAAATCAGGCTACCTTTACACAAGGAGGTAGAATGAAAGAAACTCAAAGAAGCCATAGGAACCCAAACTTCCCTGTTTTCTTTGAAGTAGGCAGGCCTTGGGCAGCTGGGGGAGGGAAAAAGCCACGTGTGTGTGAGCTGAGCTCAGAGGCATAGAAGCTGAAGCTGTGATGTCCCACACCTGTCGCCTCCCACTGACCCCTGACACAGGCCTGCCCTGCTTCCTGACCATAGGTTCTAGCTCTGAGGCCTGCATGGCCCTTCCTGCCCTGACCCCCACCACTGTATTCCCAGAGCTCATCTTCTACCTTTGCCCTGTTCCAGGGCAGGTGAAGGCTCAGATCTCTGGTACCTCTGACAAACAGTTAAAGTTCTTTTTGTGGCTAGAGGGGCAGGGGGCCTGGTGCTCTTAATTAATGTGACCATGTGTCTGGTTTGCCCAGGCGCTGATGCCTATTGGCTCAGCACAACTATTAACATCTCCTACTTTTACTCTCAAAAATGTCCTGTTTGGGCAAGACATAATATTCCCCCTTCTAGCAAGAGATGCAACTTCCTGTGGGATGGCAGGGACTCAGTTGCCCATTTCCAGATGCTGTTCCCTCTGGGATAGTCCCTGCAGGCCTGATCAAGGCCTGTTCATCCTTCAGGTCTCAGACAAGCATCACGCCCCCAGCCAAGCAAACCAGTCCCATACCTTTGCTCTATCTTCATAAGCAATCCTTCCTTCCTTCAGAACTTATCCCGGTAGTTATATGCTTACAGGTTTATTCTTATATTTGGTTAGTCTCTTTTCCTCTCCTAGACCCTAAGACCTGGCAGGCACTCCTGTCTGTTGCTGCTCACTAGGGCACCCCCAGTATCCAGCATATAGTAGGTGCCTAATATGTATTGTGGTTGCCAAGTTATTGTCTAATTTATTTAGGACTTCTCTCAGGAGATTAGGGGGATGGAATAGACTGTGATGTATGGATGATGGGGGAGGGTTAATTATCTGACTTCGTACAAAGAAGCTGTTTGCCTGGGTCTTTGTATATTAGGTCTCTAAGGATAAGACACATTTTCCACCCTCAGCAGTTTGTAATTTTGCTGAAAAGTCAAGTGGAAAATACCACTGTGGAGTATGTGATCATTTGCCACCAGTGTGGTAGGGACCAAGGGGGTGGGGGCTTCAGACGAGCTTTGAAGGCTGCCTTGAAGTAGAAGAGCAGAGAGGAGAGACTGTGGAAGGAAAAGGAGCTGGGGGCACACAGGTTGGGGGGGTGGACAAGGCCACCATGTGACCCAGCAAATAGTGGGCTCTTGCCATCTAAGTTGATTACACAAGGAAGCAGAAGCCAGGAAGGGGAGCAATGTGGGGGTGGAGGTAGTGTGGATACTGTCACTCACTGGCAGGAGGAAAGGGAGAAGCTGGGTCATGGCTGCTAAAGGGTGCACCAAAAGACGTTGTGTTCTCTGTGAGCCTGGCAGGGCTGCTTTGGCGGCTGAGCCCTGCCTTTCTTACAGTCGTCCCTGCCTCAGTTTCCCTAGGATCATCTGGAGTGCCTGAGCTTGGGTCTTCCTGCCAAACAGGGCCAGAGCTGGTCAGCTGTAAGTGGGAGAGAGGAACTCAGAGGGAGGGAGGGAGGAAGGTGGAAGGAGAGGAGACCAGACCACAGAGCCCAGACCGTGAGGGTTGATCCTGCCAGCAGATTTAAGGTGGAGGCACGAGAGGAAGTGGGAGAAAGGAAAAGGTAGGGGAGAGGAAAAGAAGGGTAATCATTCATTCATTCCACTAATATTGAATAGGCACTACCCTAGGCTCTGGGCATATGGTTGTGATTATAGAGCCCCATGAAGCTCATGGTCTAGTGCCAGCCGGCAGATGGATGTTAGACAGATAACAAGGAAATTCATAGCATAGTATGAATGAATGAACATTCTATAAAAAATAGCTCGTGCACAGATAGACAGTCTTGGAGGTGGCTGGGCCAGGCCTCTCTAAAGAGCAGCATTGAGCTGAAACCTAAATGCAGTGAGGGGGTGAGCCACATAGGGACCTGGGGGATGCATGTGTCAGGAGGACCAGCAAGTGCAAAGGCCCTGGTAGTATATAGGGGGTGTGAAGGCCGCCACTAATTGTCCTGGGTGCCTTTCAGGCATCTCCACGCTCAGGCTGCTACTCACTGATCTGGAAGTCAGCATGATAATTAAAATTATAGTGAAAAGATGTGTCTGTGTATGTAAAATTGAGAAAGTCTCTCTTTGTATATTCTCCTGGCTCTGTATGTTAAAGACCTTGGGTAACCCAGAGAAGAATAATTTGCATATTAATTATGTAGCTATGCATGCCTTTATTCTTAAAATGCATGATAGTTTTGCTTAAGTACATCTGTGGGCATTGGACAAATGTATTTCTTCTAGGGCACAAATATGTTATGAAATTCATATATAATTGTAGAAAAGTCCACAGTTTTCCTTTACTGGATGTCAACAAAATCCAGTCTGGTATGGGAGCAAGGATTAGCTTGGTCTGGGAAAATGCACACATCCGTATGTTGATTGTTCTTTCCTGCTACGGCTCTATCCCAGACACATAAATATATGCAGATGTATACATGTTTACTCTACTTGGCCAAGACCCAAGGTCAGGGGATGGAGATCTGAACAGTAAATAACAGTCTAGAAATGAATTCCTTCTGAAAAGGTTTATTCTCACTTCTCTGAAGTGCATGGGAACATTCCCTTCAGTGAGCACATTCAAGTCACAGCATCCACTGCAAACCCTTTTCCAGAAGATTAGCTTTCACTCTGCTCTTTGGTTTTACACATGCAGTCACATGTATGTGCATGCATGCATAAGTGTACACATACACATACCATCTCTACTCTGACTATACAATGTCAAATGTTCTCAGGTGTTCTAAAAGCCTCCTGTGTCTGCCCCTTGGTTAGCAGGTGTTGTCCAAGAAAGATATTTGCACTGGGGCTTGTGAACAATGCTGAGATCTG